ATTTAGGAGTGTGTTGCTCTTTATATTGTGAATTTCCCAAATTTCCTTTTGTTATTAGTTTTTAATTTACTATCATTGTGATAAGAGATACACTTTGTTGATTTCAATCCTTTTAAATTTATTGAGGCTTATTTTGTGCCCTAGAAATAGTCTAGCCTAGAGAGTATTTCATGTCAGCTTGAGAAGAATCTGTATTCCACTGTTGTTGGATGAAGAGTTCTATAGATGTCTGTTAGGGCTAGTTGATTTATATATTGCTCAAGTCTTCTACTTCCTTTTTCATCTTCTATATAGTTATGCTATCCATGATTGAGAGTGGGATACAGAAATCTATTATTATTGAATTATTTATTTTTCCCTTCAACTCATCCAGTTTTTGCTTCGTATGTCTTGGGGCTCTGTTGTTATGTGCATATATGTTTACAATTATTATATGTCTAACTATTATATATTGTTATATATTCCTAATATCTTCCTTTTATCATTGTAAAATGTCCCTCTTTGTCTTAATAACAATTGTGTCTTAAAACCTGTTTTGTCTGATATCACTATAGCTGCTTTAGCTTTTCTGGTTACTGTTTGCAGGGTTCTTTTTTCCTCATCCTCTTACTTTCAACAGATTTGTATCTCTGAATCTAAAGTGTGCTCTTGCAGGCAGCATATTGTTGATTTATTTTTTAATCCATTCTGCAAATCTCTGCCTTTTACCTTGCATATTTAATCCATTTACATTTAATGTAATTACAGATATAATTTATGTCTGTCTAATTTTAAATCTCTTCTCTGTGTATTCATTCTGGAGAGTTTGTATTTCTATGCCATCCGGGTCATTAATCTTTTTTTCTTTAATATCTAATTTGCTATTGACCCCATCTAGTTTAATATCTAATGTGCTATTGACCCCATCTAGCTTATTTTTCATCTCAGACATTATAGTTTTCATCTCTAGATGTTTAATTTGGGCCTATTTTTAAAAATATATTTCACGTGTGCCTGTAATCCCAGCTACTCAGGAGGCTTAGGCAGGAGAATTGCCTGAACACAGGAGGCGGAGGTTGCGGTGAGCCGAGACGCACCATTGCACTCCAGCCTGGGTAACGAGCGAAACTCTGTCTCAAAAAAAAAAAAAAAAAGAATATCTGGGGACTTTTATGAACAACAAGGTTTGAGAATGACTATAGGCAGTCCCATTGGGACTAGGCAAGATAGCAGGTCCATTTGATAGGCACCAAAAATCCAAATATGTAGGCATCCAAAATCCAAATATGTAGAATTCCTGCTATAGATGTCTGTTAGGCCTTAATCCTGGTGTTAGGGGAGTCTGACAGTAAGCAAATGATTATTGTAGCCTATTATAGAGGTGAGAGGATGGCACCATGATGTCAACAGGCAGATATTCAAAAGTGAAGAGATGTGTTAGAAGTCAAGTATTGACAATAGGCAAAGTTCCAAACAGACAAGATGATGGGCATCAGAGATATAGCAGCTTGTAATAAGAATCTAGTCATGCAGACGTTGGTTTAGGGATTGGCTTCTAATTTCAATGAGATTGAAGGAATCAAGGTAGAAAACCAATATCAAAAGAGGGTCAAAGTTAGATACACAGAACCTAAAAGAGGCTTATTACTAGAACTAGTCACAAGCATCAAGGCAATTGCCTACTCCATAAGACCAGGGTAAGTTCAAAAAAGAACCAGCACAGAAACTTATTTGATGCTCAACCACCCAGAAGCACTTGGATTTTCTTGCATATGGCCTGGATTAGTCCAGGACCTGTGCCAAGGGCTAGCCTGACCTAGGGAGCTAAGTGGTCCTGCTGAAAATCCTAGAAAACACCTACCTGGCTCAACTTCCCATGCTCTGCCTGAATTCTGTTTAAGATGTAAGCCTCAGGATGTTGTCACAGGAGTGAAGGCGGTTTTTCTAAGTAGTTACAATGGTAGCAATTAGATGTAAAAGAAGCTGATTCCTAAACAGAGTAGCTCCCTAAGGGAGGTAAAAGGCAGCTGGCTTCTGGAGCCAACACCAAGTTGTTTTCACCTCTAAGAAATTCTGAAATGTCACAGCTTAGTCCTCTAGGCCAGAGAACCCAGATGTTCTCTGTGTAATTCTGATTTTCTTTAAAATAGTAGATTACTTTTGTCAGAAAAAAAAAAAAAAAGCCTTTATCGACTGGGCACAGTGGGCTCACACCTATAATCCTAGTACTTTGGGATGTCAAGGCAGCTGGATTGTTTGAGCTCAGGAGTTGGAGACCAGCCTAGGCAACATGGTGAAACCCTGTCTCTACCAAAACTACAAAAATTAGTCTGGCATGGTGGCTTGCACCTGTGATCACAGCTACTTTGGGGGGCTGAGGCGGGACGATCACTTGAACCCAGAAGGTGGAGGTTGCAAGAAGCCAAGATTGCACCACTGCTCTCCAGCCTGGGCAACAGAGTGAGACCCTGACTCAAAAAAGGAAAAGAAAAAAACTTTTAAGTTTTTTTATATACATACATTAAGCATTTTGTTTCAACCTAAAACACATAAATATACATTTATGAACCAGACTTTCTTTTCTTTTTTTCTTGAGTCAGAGTCTCACTCTTGTCCCCCAGGCTGGAGTGCAAAGGCGTGATCTTGGCTCACTGCAACCTCCTCCTCCTGGGTTCAAACCATTCTCCTGCCTCAGCCTCCTGAGTAGCTTGGATTACCGGGGCCTGCCACCACACCTGGCTATTTTTTGGTATTTTTTTTTAGTAGAGACGTGGTATCACCACGTTGGCCAGACTGGTCTCAAACACCTGACTTCGGGTGTGATCTACCTGTGTTGGCCACCCAAAGTGCTGGGTGTTAGCCACTGTACCTACCCATGAACCAGACTTTCGATGAAGGTTACCATTGGATAAATTCATAAATCCTTGGTGCCATCATGCTTACAGCACTGGTATCTCTAAGGTTAAAAAAATGAATTCCTCCATTCCCTCAATGACACCCTTTCAGCAAGTGATAGCAACTAAATATTCACTGAATGATTGCTAGGAAGTAAGTAAAGAATCAGGAGAACTCTTGGAGCCATACCAGAGAAAATCACAAGAAAGGCAGGACTGCAAAGATTTAGTGGAGGTTGTGAGAAAAGGTAAACCCTTGTTAAGCTCATTTGCCTCTTTAGTTACCACTGCTAGATTTATGTGATTCCCTTAGCTATCCTTTCCCAGCCCCCTGGGATATTCACTCACAAAGAAATCCTGTCAAAATCAACTGGGTGATGATTAGGAGCCATTATCTCCCTGCTGTGCTGAAAGGGATACAGGGCTATCTGCAGAAACCTTTCATGACGGGCTGAAAAAAAAAATTCCAGTATATCTAGGAGTGGTATCACTTTTAAGTGGGAAAATCAGAGTCAATCCATAGTCTTTTCATACTATTGGCGTGTTATGTTTACGAGGTATTATATTTCTAAAGCAAACACCATAAGAAATGTGAAAAAATCATACTTGACTTAAAGGGAGGGAAAAAATAAAGGGAACCATTTTGACAATGAACAGATATACCCAGATTCAAGAACTGAATAAATACATTTGTAACATTTTCTTGCTTGGCCCTCTGGAGCTGTGCCTTCTGTAGTCTCCCCATTGTCAGTCTCCAGGTTCTCTGTCCTCTCAATTTGGATTTAGAATTATGGACAGAAGGTACATAAAATACAGTTTCTTGATTGAGGAAATTGGACCTGGAAAGTGAATTAAGTCTCCCAAAGTTGGCCAGAGACTGAAAGTCTTGTCTCTTCATTCTGTCCAGTGTTCTTTACTCTGCTGCGTTCCTTGGTATTACTTACCCTTAGTTTTGAAAACTACTTTCATTTACTATTTGTCCAAACTTATTGAGACTGAAGCTTCACAATATCTTTAATAGTTGCATATCATCTACTGTCAATTTCTGGTTTTCACCTTTGAGGGAGCAGGTGCTGCAAAATATGGAGAATATTCTGATATATGTACTACAAAGATAATCTACCTGCTTTAAGAGCTAGGAATGATTTATCGGAATAGATATCATGGGATCATAAATTTCTTGGGTAAAGTTCATTATGATGGTCAATAATATCCAACAAAGTAGGAGAAGGATTACTGAATAAAGTAAAAACCCACTAAAATATGAATAGCATAATTGGTGCCTGTGCTATTTACAAGAGCAGCTGAGATGTAATCTTTGAACCTTGGATCTTCAGGAAGTGGCATGATGTGGCAGAAAGAGCACTGTCTTGGAATTCAAAAAAGTAAGGTGTCCATTCTGATTACACAATTTATGAGCTATGTGAACTTGGGTAAATCACTTGAACTTCTCTAAGCTTAATTTCATTATGTATGCAATGAAAAACAGAAATCCTGGCTATTTCGAATAGCTATTTAAGGACTTAAATAAATAATATATGAGATTATTATAATTCAAAAGTCTGAGACTATATGCCTCTGCATGATAGCAGAGGATCATGTGTGTTGTATTCAACAGCATATTCCCAACACTAACATAGTATCTGGCACATGGTAAGCCTACAATAAATATAAAAGACATTCATTAATTAAATAAAGACAATTACAGGAAAAATATCATTCTTATCACTATTCTTGCTGTGGAAGTGTTTATGAGGGCAATAAAGCCAAGTAAAAGAACAGAGCAGAGACAAAGGAGGCAAAAAAAGGAAAAAAATGACTGGTATCACTCCCTAGAACAGAAGCAGAGGTTGCAGAATCAAAAAAAGAATGATCAAAATGACCAATTTCTAAATCTGCCTTTTTTCTTTCACTGCTTCATTCACCCACACCTCTCAATCCAACCACTGATTTTTTTTCTTTTAAGATTGCCTTTGGGCATCGACCTCATTAATTTCGGAGTCACAGTTAAGCCACTGCTTTCAGTGTTTTTATTAAGACCTGTGTATGTCCTCTCTTTAGTCATTAGGAACAGTACTGTTTTTCATTTATATTGGATGTAACTAATTCAGAGTTCTTTCCTCTTAGCGCTCTCCAAAGACTACAGTGGCCGGGGGAAAGCCAGTGGACTTCAGGGACTACTTGAAAGGAATATCAGTATAGTTCATTTCTTTTACCTGAAATGATTCTAGGTAAAAGTCCTATGGGATAGGTGACTGGTTGAAAATGTATCTCTCACTGAGTTGTCCTTTTTTAGTTTTATAGATGTGCTCCATCACACACACAAGAATTTTATAAAACTGTTTTTCTCTGCCACAGAGGTCAGGGTTTCGCAGGCATTTGGTGAATAGATAACACGCCTAAATGTCAGTTCAACTAAAGAACCATGTTACCCAGCTGGAACGCCTCGATCTTGGTACTTGGCAGACTTTGGGAACACCTCAAACCACATGTACTTTAAAGAATGCAGACAAGTCACAAAATTAATTCAGTCTAGTATGGCCAAACACTCTCAATGCACTTTTAAATCTGAACTAATTGATAGCCTCTCCTCCCCAAGTTACATTTGTCATAGCCAATTCAAACTGGTTCTAACTGGATTCAGATAAAATTCACCTACTTTTTGCTTTCACAAATATAACTGACAGGAACAAACTAAAACAGTTCTATCTGTAAAAAGCAATGCAGTAATAAGACTTTGGACCTTGAAGCTTACAGAAGACTAATGAGATAATGTCTAAAATGTGTTCGAGCTGCATGTGTGAAAGGCTCTATGGAGACAGAAAATATAATAAATAATGCAAATAACCTTTGTGTAAGGAAAGCTTCTGTCTTCTGGAGGACAGAATAAGTATTAAATAAATATTTTACAAATATGTTCCTGCTAACCTTATCTGTCAAATCTAGCCCAGGTAGGTTGAAAAGTACTATTATTCCCATCAAAACAAATAAGAATCTTAATTTCTAATGAAAGGTTTTCCAAGAAAATTCCAATTAGAATCCATAACTTAAGGTAATGCTTTCATATTAAGCCAAGCTTCCTACTTCAATTTCAGCTCTTGGTCCATTTTATTGTAAATGTGAAAGCACTAGTCCTGGGCCCCACCAACTTTCCATTCTATTCAAGCCAAAGGGATCCCTGTGGAATTCTCTAGCTATACTAAATTGAAAAAACACAAAGCACACCCTCTTCGGGTTCTTGAACCATCAATGAACACTCAACAAATTATGTTGTCAACAGTGACAACATAATGGACTTCAATACCTTAAAAGCTCAATTCAATTACCTATAAACTTTAATCTGCTCCTTCATGAAAAATACCTTCATTTAAAAGTACATAAAACCTTTATTTCTTCCTATGACATCTCTTATCCCTAAAATTACATAAAAGAAAACTAATTTTTCATGAATTTTACAAAATAACAAAATGGGACATGAAATTAAGCAAAAAAATTTTCTGATGGGAATGTCAAAAACACCTGGCACACACTCATCTCACAAGCTGGCATAGGCCAATAAATTTCCCAATATTTTGTTTAAAATCTGTATCCTTTGACTTTTCAGAACCTTACTTGACAACAAGCCATTACCTTTTTGAACTCATCCAATCTTTGTAGAATAATAAAGTTTAAAAAATTTTCCACTACAAAAATAAAAGTCTCAGAGGTGGGAAGAGCTTTGTGATAGTGTCTGATTTAGCCCTTGCCTACTGACTGGTGAATTTACTTAACAAATATTGAAACTGATGACCTGTGGGCAGTGGGCCATCCTTGATCTTTGGGGATGTATACAAAGTAATAAGACAACTCTGTCCCCTCAAAGGAGTTTACAGTCTACTCCTGTTTTCCCAAAGTATCTGAGTACTTGGGAAGAAGTTATGAATGTAAAAATGAAGATTCCCAAGTTTCACCTCAGACTTAATTGATTCAGAAATTCTAGGTATTAAACCCAGAAATCTGCTCTTTAAAAAGCCCCTTGCGTAATTCTTGTGCACGTTTGAGAACCACCACTCTGGTAGGTCTGAGAGATGTGCACAAATATCAGTTACGGAAATGCTGAATATAGGGCTTGCCTTTTAGGAAAATAAAAGGATTGATCAGTACCTTCCCTCATTAATGACAGATACAAACTGGAAAAAAAGAAGTTATCTCTTAGCCAAACCCACACATTCTTCTAAATCATATTCACCACTAAGTTGGATTGTGAGTTAACACTTTTATAATAGAAATAAACTTAGTGCAGAAACCCAAAATTTCTACCTACCATTCTCCTTAAAATGCCTAATTCCCTGTTGCAGTGGCTCACGCCTGTAATCCCAGCACTTTGGAAAGCCAAGGCTGATGGATCACTTGAGGTCGGGAGTTGGAGACAGGCCTGGCCAACATGGTAAAACCCTGTTTCAACTAAGAATACAAAAAAAAAAAGTAGCTGGGCATGGTGGTACTCACCTGTTATCCCAGCTACTGGGGAGGCTGAAGCATGAGAATCACTTGAACGTGGGAGGCAGAGGTTTCCATGAGCCAAGAGCATGCCACTGCACTCCAGCCTGGGCAAGAGTGAGACTCCATCTAGAAAAAAAAAAAAAGAAAAGAAAAAGAAGTAAAATGACTAATTCACTGGATATTTAGTTTAGTTTCATTTAGCTTATGAATCACATATTTTAGCTTATTTTCTTTCCGTGAGAGTAGTAGTCATAAGGAATAGTAATTTTCATCATTTTTTTCCTTTGACAGAAATACAAAAAATTAGTAGACATAAAAAAAGTTGGATTTAGAAACATGTAAGATATCTGGGCTTTAAGACAGCTCTTAGCAGAATTAACTGCCACATATGGATTCTGTATAAGACCAACACTTTGTACACAAAAAAATCACCCAGGGAGTGGCTATCAATGCAAATGGCTGAAGGGTTGGTAAAAGACGGATAACAGAATTTTTAACAAGCACCCCAGCTAATTCTAATGTGAATTGTTTTAAGAAAACACTACAGAAGTTTCAAAATTTCAAGATTCCAAGCTCGTGACATCCCAACCTGTCTTCATGTCTAAATCAATATATTAAACATAGTAGATTGCCAATACATACATATTTAAATAAAGTAATTTCATAGTTAATTAAACTATAAAAGGGAACAAATAGGGGAATTCAGTTTACCTTATCAGAGCCCACATTCTCTAAGTCAGAGCTGGGGAATCTTGTTGATACCATGAATTGCCCTCCAGATCTAGCAGCCACATGCAGTAAAAAAGTAACTTTGCTGTGCTGTTGTTCCTTTAGAGAGTATATAAAATACTCTAATTACATACTTTTAAAATTAAAAATATCCTGAAGGTGTATGTATGCAGCAAAGGGAATGGCTAACTGAGGTTGGAGGGAGAGTTATTCACTGGACATCGACAATAATCCAAGAAATAAAATTCTGAGGATCAAATAAAATAAAACCAAATAGAATCTGTCCTTGGTCTAAGCATCTCTCGCTGCTGATATAAGGAGAGTAATTTCCCCATTCCCACAGGAATTAATTGTGAACAATTAAACACTTGTGGTATTATCTAATTACTAATAATTCACAGAGAACTGAGAGATTCTTATCCTCACATCCTTTGGGGGAACCTGAATATGATTGGGTTCTGGGGTTGTACACTTTCTGTAAGTCTCGGAAGCATACTTTGTGTATTTAGCATGCTGTTTCTCAGATAGTCCATAAACCTGTGAAAGGAACACTGGCTTACTACTTACAGGTAATAGTAAGAAGAATAACTGTTTGTGACCCTAAACACTTAGAAGCTCAGCTTCTTCAGCTATAAAATGGGTACCCAAGTTGATCTGTATTCATGGTCCAGGTTCTTTGCACTCAGCCATGATGCTTCCCACGCCATGTGCTTAACTGAGGTTTATGTGGGAGGATCACATGAGATAATTTTTGTAAAAGTGCTCTGTAAGCTGTAAAGCACTATACAGATGAAGCGGATTATTATTAGTCTTTTACGAAGCCCAGCAATAAAGATGCAAAGTGACCCAGAAAAAGAAAACTGAGTAGACAAACCTGAAATATAACATCTCTAGCACCTACAACAGTTACCCTGTACATGGTAGGTAGGTGCTTAGTAAGTACAGAGTGAGTAAAGAAGAACACCAAACAGGTTTGTGCCTCCTTATACTAGGTCTGATACCAAGAATAAATAAATATACCCAAGGTCAATGAGAGTTTTCATTCAACCATACAACAGTGGAATACTCCAAGAGCCTAAGATTTTAAATTAAAAATTGCTTCATATGAAAGAGCACAGAAACATGAAATGTGACCCACCATCTGCCATGAAATGGTTATATTCTTACCTCTTCAGTCTTTCCAATGCAGTCTTGCAAGGATACAGCACCTGGATGAGGGTGTGGAGCGTTTTCCCTGCATCTGGTAGATCTACATAACTGTTCCTAGCAACCACTTGAGGAAATAACACATTCTATAGAATGTTGGATGCTTAAGCTCTCTGTTTTGGATTTGAAAGGCTGCATTTTAGTGATTTTTAAGCCAAACCAGATTTATCCCCTAACATCCCCCAAAAAACACACAGAAAAGAAGAATGGTGGGGGGTGGGTAGGTAGAGAAGCAGTTATTCACCTTATAAAACAATTCTCTATAGGATTCCTTTGTCAGTTTCCTAGACTATGTAAAATGTGATTCAAATTAAAATATTTAAATCACATACGCACAACTTGACATAGGCACTTAATTGTAAAATAAGGCAAACCCACACTGGGAAATACCAAATTAAAAAAAAAAAATTGGGGAAAAAGTATTTTCTTCTGGGTGGCCCTAATCTGCCTTCTTTTACCCCATTGCAAATGTATTTTTATGCTGGGTTACATTTCCAAAACAGGAGTGTTTTTTTTCTATCCTTGAAATGAAACAAACAAGTTTGCTTTCAGAGCCACAGAAATGCCCAACTGTTAGGGGAAAAAAAAAAAACAACGTTTTCCACTGGCCGCTTGCCTCTCTTATCCCCATGCAACCTTGCCTATTGGCCCCTTTCCCTAGGAGAGCCCCTGGGGCTGTCTGATGGAACTAATTGTAAAATTATTTTGTGCAGTAAAAAATTCATTTCTTCAAAATCTGAGACCACCCAGAATATGCCCAATCTTTGGCAAATATCAACTGGTTTCCTCAGTATTTGACTAGCTGTACACCGAGTAACTGACCCGGGTTTCTGGGTCTTTCTATCGGCATAGAAATGAGGGGGAAATGTTTCAGAAGATGAAAAAAGGAAGAAAATCTCTCATCCAGAATCTATTCAAAATTCATTTTGTGTGTTTGGAAGGGGGAAAACAGAAGAATTCAGTGCAAAGAGGCCTCCACCAGACTAAACCGTCCAACATCTGCAAAAGCTTTTTAAATAAAACTGCTCAGGGATCAGGGGTTTGCTGCAAGCTCCCGGTCGCTTGAAGCCCTGTCCCTCCGCTCCGGGCCCTCACGCCTCCGAGGGTGGGCACCCCTCTTGCACGGAGAGCGGCGGCTGGGATCTCCGAGCAGGGTCGCCGACGGCCCTGGAGGCAGCGGCTCCCGGAGAACAGGCCCAGGCTTTTCTCGGCCCGCTGCATTCCTCTCCTTACAGCCTTGGCTCTCACATAGTAGGTGCTCTATAAATGTGGACTAAGGACTCGAAAAGTCCGAATCTGTCCTCACGCCCCAGAGGCGAATTCTGGTGCGCGAGGTTTTATTGCGACCCACTACCACATCGCGTCTCCTGAGGTAACCTGACCTCGGCTCTGCGGCCCCAGCAGCTGGAGAGCCACGGAGAAGGCGGGCTGCGGGAGACAAGATGGAGAGCCTGCGGGAGAGGGACAGAGGCCGCGCTGGCCGCGAGCTGGGGGGCCCACCTGACTGCCGCGCTGCCTGCCCGGCCCAGCACTCCCATTGACAAGGAGGTCCGCGCCGCCGCCGCGTGGGGCGGGGGCAGGGGCGGGGTAGGGCGCCCCGGCGCGCGCCCGGCCCCACGCCCCGCCCCCGCCAGCCTCGCACGCGCCCACCCCCGGGGAGCCGCGGGCCCGGAGGGCGCTTGGGGGAGGGGGGAGGATGCTCCGCGAACGCGCGTGCGCGCCTCCGCCGGCTGACGCGGACCCCCGGCGCGCGCCTCCCCCGCCCCGCGTTCTCCCAGTCCCGGGGGCTCGGCGCGCGGCCCTGCTGACGTCAGCCGGCGGCCCGCGGAGCCGGGTGCGCAGAGTCGCTGGCTCACTCGCGCTCTGCGCTCGCCTCCTCCCCCAACCCGGGCCCTGGCGCGGGCGCGCTCCTTCGCTCTACCATTTTTTTTTTTTCCCCTCCCTCCCTGCCTCTCTCTCTCTCTCCCTCTCCCTCGAGCACCCGGCTGGCCGCGGCTCCCTGGCGCTCTCCCTCTCTCCGGTAGGCTCACCGAGCGATGAGAGCTCTGGGAGACCGCAACGCCGCCTCCCGCTAGAGACCTGCCCCCCGGTCCGGCCCCCTGCCCAGCCCTGCCCAGCGCGCGGGGGTCGGCGAAGGCGCCGCGGACGCACCGACGGCTGAAGAGCGGCGATGCACATGCACTAGCAGCACCCCCTAACTCACTCCCTCCACATCCCGCGCCGCCGCCGCCGCCTCCGCCACCTCCTCCTCCGCCGCCGCCACCGCCTCCTCCTCCAGCAGCCGCGGCAGCAGGACCCACCCTGCCCCCCACCCCACCCTCCGTCGGCTCCGGCTGCGGCTCCAGCCTCGACTATTATTTTATTTATTTTGGGTCGTGCACAAGCCTCAGTGCCTGCAGCCCGCGCCTCCTCGGCCCGCGGGCGCCTCCTCCCTCGGCTCCGGAGCCCCTGACTCCGGCCATCCTCGACTCGACACCCCCAGATCCCCACCAGCTGCCGCGAGTCTCCGCTGCTGGAATCTTGTTAGCGGCTGTCTTTTTGGGGGGTTCTGGTTACGCGACATTTTTGTTTCCAGCCCAGGAGAGGATATCGTGATTTTCCCCCCTTGAGCCCAGGCTCTGCTCTCTGGGGGGGTGGGGGGCGCGCCGAGCCGGGGAGCCGTGCCAGCGGAGTTGTGCGGGCTGTGGCAGGGAAGGGGCCACCATGGGATGTACTCTGAGCGCAGAGGAGAGAGCCGCCCTCGAGCGGAGCAAGGCGATTGAGAAAAACCTCAAAGAGGATGGCATCAGCGCCGCCAAAGATGTGAAATTACTCCTACTGGGTAAGAACCGCCGCTACCACCCCCATCCCCCGACCCCGGCCACTCCGCACCCCTGCCGCCAGCTCCTCCACCCCACCCGCAGCCGGTAGACCTGGTCCCTAAGTTGGCACCACCATGTGCCCAGGATCGCCCACCCCCTCGCATGCCTTCCCCCCCCCCCCCCCGTTCCTTTAAGCTGACACTCACCAGTTTTTCCCCACTGTCTGTGTCCCAACAGGGGCTGGAGAATCAGGAAAAAGCACCATTGTGAAGCAGATGAAGTAAGTCCCTGTGGCACTGGGATTTGTACTTTTATTAAGAATAATTTTTAAAATCGTTTTTATTACCTTGCTTACTCCACATTGCTCTCCAGGCCTGTTTTTTAATTCGTGCACACACACGCACACACACACACACACCCCTATATTTGACTCCCCTCCCCCACTCCCTACGTTGGTTCTTGGTCCTCCACCCCAACTACCGGGTGGGTGTTTTTTGGGAGGGGGAAGGGGAGCGCCTGTAGTTGTATGAATGACAGCGTCCGCCATATTGATCAGAACATCACACTATTGGCATGAATATGATCATTACTCTTGCTTGTGGAATATTTTGTGTCTCACTGCCTCCATTTCTGTGTCTCTGTTTCATTCTGTCTCTATTTCTCTCTCCTCTTCCCTCCATACCTCCCTATCCCCGAAGGTCCGTAATCCCGCTTCCCCCTGCTCTTCTCCTGGGGCAGTGATTTTGAACTTGGCTAACATGGAGGGGACCCAGCCCTAGACTGGGGTGGAGGATCAGGTGTCTGCTGTTCATGCGTTTGGTGCTGAATTGGAGGCTGTGTTTTCTACGTCTCCTCGCCCCCCCCCAAAAAAGAGGGGATTAGGGGAGGGGTCGTGTGCTAGGGGAAGGAGTGGGTTTCCAAGCGGTAGTGACTGGCACAGTTTTATCCAAGGTAGAGGTGGAAGGGGGAGGGAAGCTGCCTGTGAGGCTGAATGTCCGCCCCTTGCTGCCCCCAGCTCCTCTCCTCCCCCACCCTCCCAGCATTGCTCTCCTGATACCCGCAGTTTTCCTTCGCTCCGTGGCCTTTATCAGTGTATTTATTTACACTCTGCATAGGCCATGTTCCATGCAATCTACTCACAATGCGGATTTCAGGCCCCACTTTCCGCCGCCCCCTTCTGCCTTAGCTATCAGTTTCCCCTCCTAATTAACTGGGGGTGGATTTGAGTGATGGTTGAAAATTAAAACAAAATGGGATATTCCTTCCCTTCCACACTTTCTCAATAAGGAGCCTCGCCCCTCCTTCCCACTCGCAGGCTCGCTTCTTGCCCTATTCACCCGGCAGTTCCTGGTGAGCCCACAGGCAGCTTTGCTTGGGGAGGGGGTGGCTGGCCGCAAAGAGGTGTGCGCCCTCGGGGCCTCCTGCTTCCGTTGGCCTGTCAGTTCAGGACGGAGGAGTTCGTTAAGACCGTTTAGCGAAAATTCCATGTCGCTTTGCTGTGACACCTTCGTGCACACACAGCTCCTAATTAGGGGTTGCCGTACAGTAAACAAAAATGATTATTTTTCAACTTGACAGAGTAGCCGAAGTAATTGCATCGCGTAGGGAAACAATGGAAAATAAAAACCCCTTTCGTGGGAAGCTGGGAGTGGGAGACGAAGCATGCTTGCGGTTTCAGAACCAAGATGCAAAAAATCTTGCATGTGTAACAGGCATGACAAGCGGGTTCTAGGCGGCGCCATGATGGTAGGGAGTAGCGACTCGGAGACAGTTTCCCCATCGGCTTGACATGTTCTTATTTTTGTTCGAGAGCTCCCTAGGGCTTTCTTCGAAGAGGCCCCTTCGGCTGGCCGCACCCTTCTGAACCAAGGGTAATTTAGCTTGGGGTTTCTTTGGAGCTTGTGCAACCCAAATGAATGGGGAGGCGGGGCTTGGGGAATTGCTCTTTGCAACAAGGTGCATGTTGCATCTGTCTGGAGCCCTTGCAGATCGGTAAATGCAGCCGCGCCACTCCTTTCTCCCGAGGGGGGACGTTTTAAAACTTCAGAAGTCTGTAATCAGCAGTGGAGGACTCGGAGCCCGGTAGACGCCTCAGCCACCGGACTGGATGAGGTTTCAGGCGTTGCAAGTGGTGGACAGCGCCCAGCCGAGGACGGAAAAGTCGATGGGGCTCAGTTCGGGGACGCTCGGTTAGGCTCGGTGCGGTCTGGGCGCGGGGCTCGGAGAGAGTCGGCAGTGTTCGGAGCCGAGTCCGCGCTCTGGCGGAGAGAGCCGAGCCGCTTCGGAGGGGGTCGAACGCATTCGGAAATGCTCATGGGAGGGGAGTGTGAAGGAGGGGCAGAAGAAGGGGGACAGGCCAGAGTCTGTAAATTAACTTTGAATCCACCAAAGAACTGCTTTTTCTGAACACGCCCCATAAATTAGGCTGATTTAATGAGAAGTTTAAAAATATATACTGAATCCCCCAAAGGGGATACCTCACCTTTTTTTATTCAAAGAGAGCTGAGCTTTCTGGGGAAATAGGTGTGCCACTTTAGGATGAAAATTCATAATTATGTACTGGACAGGAAATCTTAAATGAAGGATGGATGTAGACTTCCCAGAGAAAGTCCTATGTGTCTTGTATTTGGTTACACCCAGGAGGGGGGAAAATGAAATGAGTGATGTTTGAGATTGTTAAATCAGGAATCAGAGCATTTCTTCTCTTTCCCTACACTTCTCCCCCCCCCCGCCTTTTTTTTCACCCTTACTGGACACCTTTTTCAAGAAAAATATTAGGAAAAACAGATTTTGTAGGTAAAACAATTTTTTTTTAAAGAAAAGCACAATACACCAACTCTCTTCAAGAAGTAGGGTAGGTCTTTTCCAAAGGTCTATCACAAAGGTTTCTGGTCCCTGGTTTGCCACAAGGGACCCTGGCATCCTGTCCTCCTGAAGCATTCATGAATGGCAGCTTTCCCTGTGAGCTCTCCAGCTTGGCTTGAAATACATCAGATCAGGGCCTTGTGCCAAGCTGAAGGCAGGACTTGTTTTATTAACCACAAAATGTGGGATTGGTGTCACTGTATCCTAGTGACAAATTTTCTTGAGTCCTCCCTTGCAGAGATGGTTTTTGAGATGGCCACTTGACTGAGAGTCACTTTGAGTCAGGAAAATTCTACTGTGGATGGTGCCATGCCCGAAAATCTAGGTGGCATTTTAGAAAGCAGTTTCTAACTCCCTTGTGAAAGTCCATTATTGGTGACCAACCTATCAGTCCATATGTACAGGTTAATTAGGAGGCTGTGTTGTTTCACCTGGATAGATGAAATTCAACAGAGAGCCCTCTTTAAGTTATGGGTTATCCTCGGGTATAACTTAAAATTAACTTTAAGTTATAAGCCACAGTCTAATAGTTCAGAACATTGGATTGAGAGTAAGAATATGGATATTCAGACATCACTGAATAAAACCCCTTCTATTCAGCATTTCCAGAAGAGCAAAGAGTCATTCCATTGAGCCTGTGTTCTCATCCATGCTGTGGTGTGCTAATTAGAAGAAACAGGCTTCCATATATTCCCATAGTAACTGAAGTTAAATGATAAAGGACTGGTTGGTAGTTGCTATTTAGAACAAAGGGTTAACGTCTTCATCAGCCTAAGATCATTGCAGAGATACTGACATAAAGTTCTTCTGCTTGATACCTGTTGTAAGGGGAAACTTGCATCTCCTTAAGAGATACCACAGTTTAGAATGTCATTTGAAAAACCTGATTCTCAGTACTTACATTAAAATTTTTATTTGAACATAGTGTTTGGGGTTGTTTTTTTTTTTCCCTTATGTGTGTGATTGTGAATTCGTATTAGGGAGTTCTGTGTCAGACAATCCAAAACATTTGACTACTGAAAAATAAACAGTGATAATTGAGATAGCACAAACATAATTTTATACATATCACATGTGAGTAATTAGTAATTCTTTTTTGTGCATGGCATTTTAAATAATTTTGCTTGTTAGGGAGTGGTAACCTCACCTGTGATACAGCTTCATCATGTTATAGTCAATCAATAAGACTCTGAGTTATTCTGACCAATCAAACATTTTTAAAAGAACTGTCAATTTTATTCAATTACCAGCTCCTTACAAAGAATTCTTTTAATGAGTTGTAATTTTATCAGGTGTAGAATCGGCAGAATATCACTTTCAGTGACTTCCCAGTTCTGAACAAATAGTGACACCCACTTGAACCATGTACCTGGTGAAAATGTAAAATGGACTGTGGAGTTGCTCTGGGAACCACAATTTGCCCTCATTCGAGATGCTGAGTTTTCTGTAATGTTGAGTTCAGGCTATTCATCTCTGGAGCATTAGCAGAATTTTTAGAAAGATAAGAGAGTTCGAAGGTGGCCATGATGCATTGCTTGCTAGCTGGTAGTCCTTACCAAAATGGGCACAATAAAATAGAGCACTTTGGTTGTTCGTCCATTCCCACAATACCTGCTTAGTGCCATTTTAAAACAAATTTAAGAATTTGCCTGATGAAGACGTCATTACTCATACTAATATTCCAGCCTGACACGTGGGATATATTCAGAGAACAGACCCCACCCTGTCAGGAAAGGCTGTCTCAAAAGGTTACCTGTCAGCAAAAAGCTGATGGATTTTTCCTCCCAGCTGACCCTGACTTTGTAATTAGGGTATCTACTGTTTGGTTTGAGTTCAGGGCAAGCTTGCATTCTTCTTGATCTTAGCCAAAAGGCCAAAAAGCGATCAAGCTTGCATGCTTTGAGCACAGTGCTCTTCAGCACCTAATAACTGACAGGCATTAATGGAGGTGAATAGCAACCTGCAACCATTACTCCATGAAAGTGCAGCCCTTCAAAAGGGCATTTTCCACACTTGCCCGCAAGGTCCCACATTGGGGTAGTATTCCACAGAGAGCCACTCTTCTAGATTTGTAGACTTGTTATTTCTGCAGTCATCTAGTTGGCTGCTTTGCCTCCCTCCCTTCATCCCGTCTCTATGTTTATTCAAATGGATGCACCTTGCTCTCCAGAGACAGCGGCAGCTCAAACAGAATGTCAGATCAAGTAGCAGATGAGTTCTCTTTTCCTGATGGATGGTGCTCTCTCCCTCCTTACTGTGCACTGAGCTGTAAATACCAGCAGACCTTCCTGCCAGAAGAGTGGCAAACAGTTCACCTGATCTCCTCGGGAATTAGCTGTGGAATTCTTGAACCTCAGTTACCTATTGGATTCTGAAGTGGAACATGTATGCTTGTTGAAAAGGGTCGTTGCCAATTAGATTAAATGGGGGATGCTTCATGAGGATCAGCATGACTGGAAAAGAATGCGGAACGGCTGTTCTATGTGTGAACAGGGCTGGATTAGATGTATGATGCCCAGAGTGGGAGTGCTGTCTTGTTTCTTTTAACACATGGAACTCCCAGATTATATTTGTGCTGCTTCACATGCCACATCTGCTAAAGATAGGACAAGATCACTCATGTTTTCCAGCTGCTCACAGTACCCTAACTCCATTAACACTGGAGATTTAATATAAGTAGAATGAGGCCCTATTTTTCTGATATGTGCTCAGCCCATTTGCATGCTGGGACTTGACTCCCTGTCTCCCAGGGTGTTTTCATTCTCATTTCTTATGGAGCCAGACAGACCATTATCAACAGAATACGTCTTGATCTGAAAGACAACAGAAAATCTGGTAAAGGGGTGATTCCAAACGGAAAAAAATATATATTTGAAAGAGTTACCCTCAAAATTGACACTAACAGAGAAAACTTTTGATTCTGAAAAAAGAAAAATTGTGTGCCTATGTTTGTACATACCCACAGAGTGTGTGTAGGTTTACAAATGGAAAATGCTATTAGAAAAGCCCTCACCTCACTTTCTTACTGATTGCCGCGTCATAAAAAACTTGAAGGTGCTCAAATGAACTCCATCCTTAAGAATTTCTTCAAATATGTGTCACATTCTTATTTTCTTCCATCCCTCTCATTTACACACTACTGGTAGAAAGGAAACTGTACAATAGATCCATGATTAGCATGGAGGGAAAGGAGAGGAGAGAGCAGTGACCTGTTAACTGGTTCAGAGAAATAGGTAGTTTCTTGTGTTTAGACAAGCAGTTTAGCATGCTTCTCTAAAATTGAGAGCTTTTATCTGCTGAGCCATCTTTAGAAGCAGTTTAGCACGCTTCTCTAAAACTGAGAGGTGGTTAAAAGCATAGACTTTGCAAGCAGGCTGCCTGGCTTCAAATCTTGGCTCTACTGCTAAGTAAATATGTGACCTTAGACAAGGCATATAACATCTGGTGCCTCAGTTTCCTTGCCTGTAAAATGGGACTGATAATAAAAATAACTAGTAATAGGATTGTGGTGAGCATGAAATGAGCTAATATATGAAATGTGCTTAGAGCAGTGTCTAGAACTTGGAAATCATTATACAAATGTTAGTTCCAGTTTTTATGCCTTTGATTGATTAGTGGGTGTTCCCTTCCCATATGGAGTTCTCTTGTCAAGTAAGTATGTGGGACTTAGCCGCCCTGAGAAGCAGAAGGGGGGTGCTGTGGTTCATGTTCAAGGCTTCTTCCCCTTGCCTGCTCTGCAGCACCAGTTATATAACAAACTGTGTTGTCATAACTGATGTGACATTTTTAATGGCGCAGCTGCTTCAGCCCAAGAGGCTGGGGTGACATTTCAAAGGGTGTTAAAGAGCACTGAACTGGGAGTCCAGGTCAGTAGCTCTGCCTCTGCCCCTCCGAGGGCTCAGTTTCCTGAAAGAGTTGGACCAGGGATACCCCAAGCTCCTTCCCTTTTGTCACTGGTGTATGAAATTGGGAATTCCCTTGGTTTTCAGGGTCTTGATGTTCTCAGTATTAAACCATGAATTATAGTTTTATCCCGTGGGGGTGTGTAGTATCCATGGAAGTTCTTTTAAGGCTAAGTTAATTGCAAAATGGCAACCTCAACCACAAAGCTTTGTCAGCCAGGAAATCTGTAGTTCTGAGAGGCAATTTGAGAAAAACACCTCTAACCAAACTTTTCATGCAGACATGGTTCTTAAACCATAGAGGAGGATCTGAAAGTATCTCATTAGTAAGAAACAGGATGTTTCTGGGAGGAGAGAGCCAGTGACATTAGAAGAAAAGTGGTTTTTCTGTGGTTTCCAGGATGCTCAGAAGTGGAGACACCAGTGGAATTCACCATGTGAAGATGCCTGGGTTAAGGTGTCTAACCCCCAGGGAGCTGGGAGACTTGCAGACTAGTAAAAGGGGAGAATCAGGATATTTTTAATTTTGATTCACTCTCTCATTTGACTTTGGGCAGAGCATTTGGCCACCTTGGGCCTCAATTTGTTCATCTATTAATTGGGTTATGGGTTTTCACCATAGAATTTCTCAGGGCTCTTTCAGGTTTCCAGCTCTAAGATGCAGTAAATGCAAAGAGAAACTTAGAAGCCTAAAAGGCAGTGGGGAATAGTGGGAGTATTTACCACCCACAGCTTTTATCTGCTGAGCCATCTTTAGTTCTAATTTTCTTTACAGAGAAGAGGAAAAACATTGTGCTTTTCATAGCACAAAAAAATTAAAGTAAAATAAAATCCTGCAAGGCTAATAGTTGATGGTGCCCTGAATTTGTCCCCCTACTCTCTTGATTTGTCAACCATCCTAGGAGCAAGCAAAATGAAGAAAAGAGAAAGGGAGAATAATATGTAAGACTAGCACTTCATAGCTAACAATTTACCTTGCATTCTCGGCCTGTGTCTTAGCCAACAGATATGTTTTCTGTAGAATATTGTTACTTATGAGAATCTCCATGATATAAAATTGACCCTGGAATCACCTATTGCCAGGGTCTCAGATCACTAATGCATATTGCACATTGTAAATTAATTAGGTGTTTATGTGTCTGTATCCCTTGCTAGCCTGGGTGCCCCTTCCTACCAGGGCTTCCTAAAGCAAGGATGTTACTTATTTTTGCTCACCGTGTAGCACCAGGCCCAATGCCTGTCACAAAGGAGGTCTTAATAAATGTTAGTTGAGGAAAAGAAAGGGTACGAGGTATACAAGGACTGAACTTTATTATTCTACATAAATCAGAATGATCATTCCCAAGGATCATTTATGTGTCCCATCATAAAACAGAACACATCCCAAGGTGGCCATGGGATGTGTTCATCATTGTCAATCTATTATCTTTATTTGTTTATCAACCTATGAGCAAAGATAGTCATCAATTCCATTTTACAGATGAGGAAGTGAGGTACAAAGAAGTAAGGTGGGTTGCTCAAGGCCACACAGCTTAGTAGGTGACAGGGTTGTATTCAGACAATGATTTTTCTAATTCCAAAACCTGTGTTCTTTTCATTGTAACTCCACACCTTTCTTACTAGACTACCACCAGCATGGGCAGTAGAGACCAAGGGCAGTGGAGGCTAGGACCTCACACCCAGATGGTGATTGCAGCAGCCATGGTTGAAACAACAGCAAGTGCCTAATTGGTGCCGAGTTCCTTCTGGAAGTAGTAGTAATGATCATATATCACACCGATCTGGACACCAGAGTATTCCCTAGCAACCATCTGGGCAGGCCCTGAAATAATTTTCCATTGCTGCCTCAAAAATGGGTGCCAGTTTCAGATTGCAACAGAGACAAGGCTCTGGCTTTGGTAGAGGCAGGTGTCTTGGAGAACCGTGGAAAGACAGGATGGTAGGAAATCCATTCATCTGTCCATCCATAATCATTTGTGATTGCCTACTTTGTGGGTAGCATACACACAGTGTCATGGAGGTAGAGAGGAAGGCCTCAGTCTTTGTCCTGAAGGAACTCATGGACTGGAGAGAGCTACTCGTAAAAGACTCTTGCACTTCAGGGTAGGAAGGGCCACGATGTCTGTATGCACAGTGTGCTGTGAGAGAACAGAAAAAACCTTCTTTAGGCAGGCAGTTCAAGGAAGACAGCCGAGAGAAAATGGCATGTGAACTGCGCCTTTAAAACAAGTGATAGTTCACTGGGTCGAATAAAAGGAATGCCAGGCAGAGGGACTGGCATGTGCAAAGGCATTAAGATGTGTCACCACATAGAACATGCTAGGAGTGGAAAATAGTTTGATTTGACTAGAGCAAAATATGTAAGAGGAGGGTTAAGAAATGAGGAATGAAAGATGGGACAGAAACCAGATCATGAAAGGCCTTATCTATTATGCCAAAGGACTTTGGATTTTATTCTGACAATAATGAGATGCCACCTGAAAGTTGGCATTAGAAACCTGTGTAGACTGGAGGGGATCAGCTCTGGAGGTTGGGAGACCAGATGGAAAGTTACTTCTGTGACCCAGGTGGGAAAAAGATTAAGAACTAAGTTAAAGCAGTGGTAGTGTGAGTGGGGAAAGGAAACAGATTCAAGAGATATTTGGGCAGTGAAATAATTTAGCTTATTTGATGATCAGTTGGAAGAGCATTGAGGAGGAGACAAATTTTTTTTTTTTTTTGAGACGGAGTTTCACCCTTGTTACCCAGGCTGGAGTGCAATGGCGTCATCTCGGCTCACCGCAACCTCTGCCTCCTGGGTTCAGGCAATTCTCCTGCCTCAGTCTCCCGAGTAGCTGGGATTACAGGCACGCGCCACCATGCCCAGCTAATTTTTTGTATTTTTAGTAGAGACGGGGTTTCACCATGTTGACCAGGATGGTCTCGATCTCTCGACCTCGTGATCCACCCGTCTCGGCCTCCCAAAGTGCTGGGATTACAGGCTTGAGCCACCGCGTCTGGCCGGAGGAGACAAATTTTAATGAGTATGGACAAAAATGAGTCCAGATCCCTGGTTTGGGCTACCGGTGGATGGTAGTACCATTCCCTGAGATGGAAAAATGCAGGAGGAAGGGAGAAGACTTGGGGAGAAAAATGATGACTACATTTGATCATGTTAATGATTCTTGTGGATCACCTGAGTGGAAGTGGGTTAGATAGGACACACCTGGGGAGAGAGGTCAATTTGAAATTCTGTGGTGCTTTTGAGCAGTGAGAGCCATGAAGTTGGTAACCTTAGCAGGCTGAATGAGAAGGCGAGAGAAGGCAAGGATCTGTCTCCCATCACACACACGTCCCAGCTCCAGGAAAGGAGAATAATTTAGGAAGAGGGACCTGTGAGGAAACTGAGAAGGGGTGATCTGAGAGACGGAAAAGAAAACCCAAGCAGAGTAGCATTATGAAAGCCAAGGAAGAAAAGACTTTCAAGGGCAGGAAGTGGTTAGTTGAGTCAAATATTGCAGTAGAACAGATAAGAGTAAGATTGGCAGTTGTCCATTGAGTCTGGCAAGTTTTTGGTGACCTTGGCAAGAGAAGTTTCAATAGACTGATGAAAGAAAAGCCAAATTGCAGTGGAGTTGAGAAATGTATGGGATTGAGGAAATCAATGGAGGGCCCCCTCCCTGCCCAAAAGAAACGTGGGCTACAGAAATAAGGGATGAGAGGTAGGGAGGGGAAGAGCGGGTTTGGAGTCCTGGGAGGGCTTTGCTTTTATTGCTCATTTGGCTAACATGGCGGTACTTGAATCAATTGGGAAGTTATACAGAGCACTGATGAATGGAAAAGTTGAAGGTATAGGAAAGAGAAAGTGGTAGAAGGAACAGCGGTAGAAGACCCTTAGGGGATGGGCAGCTTGATTTTGATGTGAACATGCGTCATCTTCCCTAAGACAGACAGGAGGGCAGTAAGGATGGGAAGTATGTAGAAGAATTCAAGGGCAGAATGGTGAGGATAGGAAGTTGAGGGAGTTCCTGCCTTAGCATTTCTTTTCTTTATGAAGTAAGAATTAAAAATCAGCTGTACTTATTTACTGGATACCAAAGACCAATAGCAGTTATTCTATTCAAACCACTCATTTATTTATCTAATATTTGTCTCACATCTATTACGTGTTAGGTACTGTTCTGGATGCTTGGAGTGTCAGTGATGAACAAGTTAAGTCCCAGAGGAATCAGGCAATAACCTCATACACAAACAATCGGACACAGTAATTGCAGATTCAGTTTCTGCCTTCAGAGAGTTGCATCAGTTGGAAGAGACAAATTCGATTCTCCAAGGTGCAGAAGAGGCAGTGACAGAATTTAATTTGGACACAGGCTCATGATTAAGTTGGGAGGGAACTGGGTGGAGAAGTGAGAGTTGCCTGCACACCATTGTTTTACTCCACCTAGCTTCACTCATTGCAGGCTGTTCCAGTGGTGCTGCCCATCACTGCCCCCTGCTGCTTGAAGAGAGAAGTGGATACATGACTCAGGCCTTGCCCTTCACAGGGTCTCTGGCCACAGTGATTGGCCCAGGGATGGGCATGTGACTAAAGTGAGGCCAATCATTGTCCTTCTCTGGAATTTTATAGTCACTGTGAGAAAGAAGGTCTTCCCCTGGGATCCCAGCAAGGTCCTCACTGGGCTGGAATCATGAAAGCTTGAGCTAGTTGTCTGTGGCCATGTTTCCACATCTCCATTATCCTCTGCAAGGAGGAAGCGTACTTATCATTAGAAAGACTGAGGTTTTGGGAGACTGGAGGACAAAAGAGAGAATGGAGAGAAGGTACAGAGAGAGGGAGCCAGAAAGACATCTGACAGTGATACTGGAATCTATGGAGCTGGTTCTATGGAGCTGACGGATCAATAAATCTCTTATGTTACACAAACTGATTTGAGCCAGGATTCTATCCCCTATGACCAAAATCACGCTGACAAAAAGTGCAAGGCCTTCCAGGATCTGAACTAGAATGAGCTAAAGTACAGAAGCAAGCTTAGAACATTCAGGACAGCACCAGGGAGAAGTGGGCAGGCCCCTGTGACTGCAGAGCTGGGATTTGTGGGAATATGAAGAGAAGTGACTGGAAAGGAAGAGTAGGGCTCGATTGTAGGTTTCCCTGATTGTTTTTCTAAGGGATATATAGTGTGCCAAGTCAGGAGAGCCTGCCAGTGGGAGGCTAGAGATAAGGCTTTACAGCAAAGAGATTTTTGTAGTCTGACCTAGGGAATTGGTAGGAAAGGCAATGTGAAGTTGGATGGGGGAGAGATTTTGGAGGCAGGAGAGATGACCCCTGGTGTCTGGTTGAATAAACATGAAAATAGTGTAGATCAGAGAACTCCTCATTTTGAACCTGTGAGATGGCGTTTAGTTATGCCATCGAGTTAGGAAGCACGGGAGCAGGAAAGAGATAGCAGAGAGAAGATGGCAGGTCGACCCATAAGCATGAATTTCAGGTCCTTACAGGATAACAGGAAATGTTCAACTGTTTGCTTGGGAAGTAGTTCTGGCATTTGGAAGACAGATCTGGGATAGAAGAAAAAGTGGGCTTTGCTACCCATGTGGCTGGGCCATGAGAGTGGATGTGGTGTCCCTGGGGTGAGCTTGCAGATGGCCGGTAGAGGGAGGGCCCAGGGAAGGGGCCCACCATTGTAGCAGTGAGGAAGAGCACTTGCCTTCAGTAGACCCACAGGTAGTTACAACTGGCAAAAGGAGCTAGAGAGCAGAGGAGCAGGAAGCAAACCCAGAGCACCCCCACAATGGATCCCCAGGAAGGGAATGTGCTTCAGGAATTCTGGGTGGCGAGCAGGGTTCTGTTTCATGGCATTGCCAAGTTAGGTAAGGACTGAGGAAAGACCGTTGTATTTGAAGCTATTATGGGCTTTTAAAAGTACAGTTTCAGTGGAGGGAAAGAGATAAAAAGCCAAACTCAAGAAAATTTTATGGTAGAAATAGGTCTGGACTGGGAGTCAAGAACCCAGGTTCTTACCCCAACTCTGTTCCTGTTGAGCTTGATGGTCCCCAGGCAAGTTCCTTAACTTCCCTAGGACTTAGTATTCTCACTTATACAATTAGGAAACTGGACTGCATGATCTATAAGCTTCTGCTGCAGTCTTGACATCATAATTTATATCTTCCTGTCCAGCAAATCAGATGTTCTTGTGGCAGAGGAATTCCCATCCTTCTCCCTTGGCCACCCCCAACTGACATAATAAATTATTTTAAAAATTAAGCTTTCAGAACTCTAGTGCTAATTGAGAAAGAAAACTGGGACATCAGCTCAGGGAATTGTGGACACCAGTGCATGTTGTGTCCACTTGTACTCTCCACTGAGAATGTGGGGCCCTGGGAGGTAGGAAATTGTCTTGTAATGCTGTCAGGGTTACAAGACCAGGATGGTTTGATGCTCTTCCACAGGGAGAAATGCTGAAGGTGGTTCCACAGTACAAAGACAAAACAACTCCTGGGGTCCCCCTCTTTCTGGATTCACATGGAAAGAAGAAGGAAGGCTGTGAATCTGAGCTGGCTGTGTGTAGGAGCTCCAGCCAGGGCAGGCAACAAGAGCTGGAAGGACCCATGCCTCAGGAGATGGACAAGCCTGAGGGCACCAGTGGGCAAGGGCAGGAGAAGCACACACTCTTATCTTTCTGGTATTCTGTGGCCTCATTCGTGGGAGGACCTTGGGGAGGGGTTGATAGAATGGCAAGGTGGAAAAAGAACCTAGTTCTGAGCTGTGGCCATTCTTCCTACTCCTAATTCCCCATGTGCTATGGAGGCCCTGTTTCTTCTTTGAATTCCTTAGAATTTCAACCACATGGCCCTCACTATTCCCTGTCTTCTTTGGTGTGCATTTGTTCCTCCTGTGAAGGCCATTGGAAGACCAGCCATACTTTGGCACTTTCTCTGTTTCTAGGAATAGATCCCTTACTAAGATAGACAAGCTCTCTGCCCTCAAGAACCTTGCAGTTTTAGAGAAGGAAGATAGCACAGGAATAATTGAAGGCAAAGGTCATTTCATATAGTCATAGATGTTGTAAAGGAGAAAACTGGTATTAAATTTGGTATTAAATAATGGAGAGGGATTGGGGGAGATGAGGGATAAAAAAGCAGGTCAGGAAAGATTTGAGGAAGAGGAAACAGCAGATGCAAAGGCCCCAGGGCAGAAATGAGCAGAAAGAAGGCCAGGGGAGCTCTAGACCACAGGGAAGGAAAAGTGGCACACAGTGAGGTTAAAGAGGCTGTTAGGAGCCGTTGTTCAGGGAAGGCCTGTTGACCATGGAGAGACATTTGGGTTTCATTTTGAATGCCATGGGAGATTGACAACTTGACCTGACTTATGCATTAAAAAGATACCACTGCATCCTGGAAAAAGGCAAAACCACAGGGATGGAAATTACATCAGTGGTTTCCAGGGAACTGGGTGCAGGTAGAGCCTGAGGGGCAGGATTGTCTTGCAAAGGGGCACAAGGGACTTTTGTGGGTAATGTAAATATTTTCTCTCTTAATTATGGTGGTGGTTATACACTGTGTATGTATCAAAAGTCATCAAACTATACCTAAAAAGGGTGAATTTTGATTTAAGTAAATTATACTTCAATAAACCTGACTTACAAAATACATATTTTTTAATCAAAAAAAGAGTTGCAGTTAGGCTTAGCAGAATCTCTTTGGCTGCCCTGTGAAGGGTGCATGGCAAGGAGCAATCCTGGAAACAGGGATGGTTGCAGTCAAAGCCATACGCCCCCTCAATGCTGTTCTTACAATTCAGCCTGTATTATATACTGTTCCTAGTGGCTTCCTTACATCAGCTTATTGATGTGTATTCCTAGTTTTCCTGTTTACCTAGCTTTCCCTTCAAAACTGGATTGAAACCTCAATGTGGGTAGAAACCATCTGCTTCTTTTGTGTGGGCCCATGGGAGATGCTTATTACATATTACTCTCCTTACATTTAAGTGGCGTTTAACATTTGCCAGCAATTCATTATCTCCTTTGAGCCTTACAACAACCTTGTCAGGCTGCACATATGTTACCATGTTCCCATTTTACAGATGAAGAAACTGAGGCAAAAATAAGCCAGCATAGCAGTATCAAAGAAGCATGAACTTTGGAGATGTGGGCTTTACCATTTGTTGGGTAACCACGTGATTTGGGAAAATTATTCAGTCTCTCTGAACCTCAGCTTCCTGATAGTTAAGAACAGACAAAAATAAATAAACACACTGCAGATACACTGTGAGGAGTAAATGAGATAACAGCTAAAAGAAAGTAGCTGATAATTGAAATTCCCCTAATGGTAGCTATTTGTATCATTTTTGCTATGAGAGAAAACATGATTTATGTAAGGTGATGTGGCCAGTACATGGTAGAACTAGAGCCTAGTTTTTCTGATTCCAGTTGTGTTTCTTTCCATCACACCACTCAGAACATTCTTTCTTGTTATCAGTTGATTGGTCCAGGGCTAACTACTTTTTACCAACTCAGGTACTTAAATACAATTGTTGATTATTCAGCAAATATTTACTGAGCACTTACCATATGTTCAACACTGTTGTGGACACAGGATATAATAGTGAGTCAAAATAGGCTCCACCTCTGCCCCTACAATTAATAAAACGGTGAGGGAGCACTTACCTCAGTGTGGAGTCTGGGAAGACTTCCTGGAGGAGGTGACATTAACACTGCTTTTAAAAGAAACATTTTTGTGATGTAGATCATATACATGCAAAACGTTTTAAAAAGCAAGCACTCAGGTAACCATCACTAGTTTAAAAAGTAGGACATTGCTAGTGCCCAAGAATGTTTCTACATATCCCTTCTTGATCACAGTTCCCTACCTTGCTCCCCAGTACCTTAACTTTTGTGGAAAGTTTTATGCATCCTTGCCTTTCTTTAGAGTTTACCACCTACATATGTATCCTCTAATCATTTAGTCTAGTTTTGACTGGTTTTGATATAATTGGAATCATGTTATTTGTATCTTTCCTTCAGTATTACGTTCATAATATCCAAGTTGTATGTAGCTGGAGTTTATTTTCATTGCTCTATAGTATGCTATATAATATTTTTATTTTTCTATGTAGCATTCATAAATATTAGTGAATAATTCATGAATATGTTATATATTATTCACTTCATTGCTATATAGTATTCATTGTTTTGGACCAGCTATGACTATACTGTAATTTATCCATTCTACTGTTGATGTAGCTTTTTGTCATTTTGAGTTTGGAGCCGTTATAAAAGATACTGCTATAAATTGTATGTGTGTGTGTGTGTGTTGTGGAGCACATGCATTTGTGAAAGGTTCTTTGAAGAGGAATTGCTGGGAATCTTCAACTACACTAGATAATATACAGTGTTTTCGAAAGTGGTAATTCCATTTTTATACTCACAGTAGCAGAAAGAATTTCTGTTGTTATAAATCCTTGCCAATATTTGATATTGTCAGACTTTTTCATTTTTACCAAACCAGTAGGTAAGTAGTAGATCTCATTGTGGTTTTACTTTACATATTCTAGATTGCTAAAGAAGAGTCGAACAGCTTTTCATATATTTATTGGATAGTTGGATTTCCTCTTTTGTGAGGTACTTGTTCTTTTGCCATTTTTTAAATTAGGTTGTAATTTTCTCATTAATTTGTAGGTATTCTTTATATGTTCTAAATAGTAGTCCTTTTTTGTTTTTTGTTTTGTTTTGTTTTCATTGAAAATATTACCTCCCAATTCCCTGGCTTGTTTTTTCATTTTGTTAATGGTGTTTTGTGCTGAAGAGATATTTCTCTTTTTTTAATATAATCATGTATTTCAGTCTCCCTCTTTTTGGTTAGTGTTTTTTTGGTGTCCTATTTAAGAAAAAGTCTTTCTTTATTTTGAGGTGCAGAAGCTACCCTCTACTTCCCCCCTCTTTAAAAAGCTTCCAAGATTTTTTTTTCGATTTAAGTGTTTAATTTACCTTGTGTACGACGTAAGTTGTTTCTTCTCTAATGGATACTCATTGGTCCCAGCTTTCTGTTACTGTTCTGTGGGGCCACCACTGTCATAGGTTAAGCATGTATATATTCAGGGACCTGTCTCTTGGCTCCTATAGCATCCCACTGGACTCTGTTCTTATGACAGTGTCACACTGTCTTGATTTTGACAGCTGTATAACATGTCTTGGTATTTGGTTTAGCAAATCCCCCTCCCCTTGGTCTTCATGAGTCTCTTGGCTATTCTAAGCTCTTTGTGCTTGCATGTAAATGTTAGAATCAGTTTTTGTGAAACACACATACATACACACATACACACACACACACACACCCCTATTAGGATTTTGATTCTATTTCTTCAAATCCACTACTCTGAGTAGAATTGACATCTCTAAATCTGAGTCTTCCTCATCTATGAGCATGTTATATTTTACCATTATTTATTGTAATTTCTCATAAGGATTTTTGAGAAATTTTTCCCATGAAGAGCTCATGTACTTTTTGTTAGATTTATAACTAGATACTTAATGTTTACAATGGTCTTGTAATTGCTTCTTTTTTTAGAGCAGTTTCAGATTTACAGCAGAATTGAGAAAGGGGTACAGAAAATTCACATATGTCCCTTCCCACACTCATGCACAGCCTCCCCCTTATCAGTAGTCCTCACCAGAGGGCACAGTTATTCCAGTTGATGAACCTACACTGGCACATCATAATCACCCAAAGTTCATAGTTTACCTTAGGCTTTACTCTGGGTGGTATACATTCTGTGGATTTGAACAAATATATAATGACATCTGTCTATCATTTTGGTATCATACAGAGTATTTTCACTGCCTTAAAAATCCTCTGTGCTCCACCTGTTCTTTGTTCTTCCCCCAACTCCTGGCTAACACGAATCTTTTTACTGTCTCTATGGTTTTGCCTTTTCCAGAAACGTCACATAGTTGGAATCATACAGTTGGACTCAAAAGACTTCTAATATGTAGCCTTTTCAAATTGTCTTCTTTCACTTAGTAATATATATGTAAGGCTCCTCCACCTGGCCTGGCAACTTATTTCTTTTTAGCACTGAATAATATTCTACTGTCTGGATATACCACAGTTGCTTATCCATTCACCTACTGGAGAACATCCAAACTTCCAAGTTTGGGGAATTATGAATAAACCTGCTATAAACATTCATTTGCAGGTTTTTGTATGGACCTAACTTTTTAACTACTTTGGATAAATACCAAGGAGCACAGTTCCTGGATTGCATGGTAAAAACATGTTTAGTTTTGTAGGAGACTGCCAAATTGTCTTCCAAAATGGATACATCATTTTGCATTTCTACCAGCAATGAATGAGAGCTCCTGTTATCTGCATCCTCACCAGCATTTGGTGGTGTCCGTTTTTGGATTTTGTCCATTCTAATATGTGTTGTGGTATCTCGTTGTTAGAGAAATTTGCATTTCTCTAATGACATATGATGTGGAGCATCTTTTCATATGCTCATTTGCCATCTGTATATCTCCTTTGGTGAAGTTTCTGTTAAGGGCTTTGGCCTAATTTTTAATTGTGTTATTTGTGTTCTTATTGTTGAGTTTTAAGAGTTCTTTGTATATTTTGGATAACAGTCTTTTATCTGGTCTTTTGCGAATCTTTTCTCCTAGCCTGTGGTTCATATTCTCATCCACCTTAATTTTTGTATAATTCTAATAGTTAATTTGTAGATTCTAAGGCCCAGGGAAGTGATCTGTCTAGATGCCTATGCCTAGCTAGTAGCAGAGCAAGCAGGAATGTGGTCCTATTTCTGCTAACTTCCAAAGAGAGAATATTCAGGAAGAGTTAGAGAAAGCCAGGTGGGGAGAAGGAAATAGTATTTATTGAACACCTATTATTTAAGATGCTTAATGTACATGATCAGCTTAACTTCCATTGGAGGCAGATCATTGATAACCCCTTTTTGTAGATGAGGAAAGTAAGATTCAGAGAGATGATCAAATAAACTTGTTCAGGCACATCAGTGAAAGAACAGTGTAGGGTTGGAGGAATCCTGTTGCTCTGTCAAGCATACACCAGACTACATGCCTTCTGCATTTGAGCTTAGACATTCATATGTCTAAGCTTCTCAAATGCAGAAGCTTAGACATTCATTTCAGGGTCCCCTCCCAGCTGAGCTCTGGGACTACCTCTACTAAAGCTGCTAGCATCTCTAGACTTGTGCAGGCCTGGTTACTGTCAACTCTTGAGTTGAGTTTCTGCCCAAAGTTCTGAGGTCAGTCTCCACCCCTGCCCTTCTACATAGTTCCCTCCCAACCAAGGAAATGAGTTCACAACTTGTTGGCTTCTAGGAACCAAATTAGGAGTTGCTCTGGGCATTTTGTTTCAGTCCCAACTTGAAAATGCCATTGAGGTTTTATGACTGCTTTATTATACAGAGGCCTAGAGAGAATTTATGGTCACAGTGCATCCCAGCACCTACTCCCCCTTCTTGTTGATTGTCCGGAGCTGCCTGCATGCAAAGAGAGGGTTTGCTGCTGCTGGCTGTGCAAAGCCATGGGGAAATGCTGTGTGTGTGAACACAGCCCAGCAGTGCTTTATTCAGCGTGACAGTTTCCGACGCTGGAACACACAGCTCTTCATGGGTGACTGTAAATTATGCAACTCCAGAGTCAAACAATGAGGAATAATGGGGGAAAGGAAGGGACAAACTGCAAATTTCAGCCTGGATCTGAAATGTGAGTGTGCAGACCCAGACAACTTGGCGATTGACGGGAGGAGAGTCTTCAACGACTGAGAAAAGCCAGGAAACCTGTCACAGGACTACTTGTGAGAGTGGGTTTTACTGTTTAAAAAATGTAAATGTTCTTTTCAAACTCTGTTTATCAATTCAGGGAGAGTTTTAGAAACTTGGAGGGACATTTACGAAAGAAGGTAGTCTCATGAGTTACCAAAAGTAATTGAATGCCATACACAGTATGTAACCTTTGTTCCCATGGCTCCAAGTCATCATTTTTATTATTGCTTTATGCTAAAAATTGGTGCTCCTAAGGGTGATTGTACAAACTCTCACCCTCGCCTCCACCCGTAATGGCCCTGGAATGTAGTGAACTCTGCTTCGATAAGCTTTGTGTAATGTTCCTGTCTCTTGGCTGACTGTCGTCTCTTATGTCTTGCTGCTTTCAAAGGTCCCACCTCAAGCATTATTCCTCTTCTCTTGTTCTGCTGTGAGTCTGCGATGACTCAGAAAACTAAATGACCAGATTTGTCACAACCGTGTGTAGGGCAAGAATAAATAGGATATAAGCAAGGACCCAAGGAGCAATTCTAGAAGTAGATATGTCTTGATATTTGGTTTAGCATATTTGGCTAAAGCTTGTGATTTACTGCCTGGACTTGTCTATATTTCCGCCTATCTATGACACGGGATTAAGTATATAAAAATGAATTGGCAATTGTGAGATACTATACAGATGTAAGTGATGGTGACAAGGTTGCCGTTGTGCTATGTGAGTGCTTAGAGTTCTTCATTGTCCTTCTCCTTCCTGGCTTCTGGTAGGGTTTCAATTCACAGAAATTGCTGGACAAGTAGCTTCCAGATAAGAATGATGAACTATCATTTGTGACAAAAGACGTTGGACTGGCTCTAACAGCAAGGAGGCAATAGGAAGACTCCCTAGAGCAAAGGGGCTCTGCCAGGCTTTTTCTGTAAAATGACATGGGCACATACAGGGTCAGGCTACCTGTGGGCAGAGATGTTCCTGGGAGCCCTGCCCAGTGGCCAGCACCACAGGTATCTGCTCACCTGTGGGAGAACTCAGAAGTTGCACAGCTAAGCCAGGCCAGACCCAGTTGCCACTTTTCGGTCAAGACTGGCTCTAGGAATTCTTCCAGGGAAGAGGGAATGTGTATTTTTCGGTTTTCAGATGTTTGTAGCCTTTGCACAAAAGTGTTTGAAACTATTTGGTTAAAATGCTTTCCACCATTGTTATTGTTCTTCCATTTTTTTTTTTTCATTCTGCTGATACTGATTGAGCTTCTGCTCTGTACTGAGCAGTCTTAGGTGTTGTAACTGAGCAAGACACATAAACTCTCTGCCCTTGTGGAGTGTTCTGACATTCTTGTTGGGGGAGACAGGCAAGAAACAAGGAAAAGATATAGTAGTATTATACATCAACTGGTGACAAGTGCTATGGAGAAAAATAAAGCATGGAAGGGGCATGAAGAAGGAAGGGAATGTTCATTTTTGGTTTTGGGGATGTTTTTTGAGATGGGGGTGGCAGAGGGTGAGTCTTGCTATGTTGTCAAGGCTGGTTTCAAACTCCCGGGCTCAAGTGATGCTCCCGAGTGGCTGGTATTACAGGTGCATGCTACCACACCTGCCTCAATGTTACAGTTTTTTAAGTGTTTAGGGAAGGCCATACTAGAAGATTAAATTGGAGAAAAGCGTTGATGGAGGTGAGGGAGCCAGCTGTGTGCACATGGGCAAAGAGTGTTCCAGGCAGCCAGAAACAGACAGTAAAGAGGCTCCAAGTCCCAAGTCTGCCCGGTGTGTGTGAGAACCACAGGAGCTTTATATAGCTGGAGTCACAAAAAAAACTGGAACAATGGGCGCCCTTGTGGAGAAGTCAGTAGTTACTGTGGTGTGGTCTTTCTAAAGGCAGGGGCGGGAAAGAAAGCCCCATCACAGACTCAGATAGACCTGTGTCTTGTGGGCATTTGGACTGTGTTATTACCCTGCCAGGTCTGGGGCTTGGAGGTGGTGTCGTGTGTGTGTGTGTGTGTGTGTGTGTCTGTGTGTGTGTGTCTGTGTGTGTGTATGTGTCCTGACAAGGGAGGGACATGGAAGGGAAGGATCCCTTTCAAGAATGAAGGGGGTTGACTCTGGCATAATCTAGGAAGAATTCTAGGAAGACTCAGTCATTTCTGGTTGGTTTACAGGAGACAAACTCTGAACCTGTTGGGCTGCCTTGCCTCGTTGGTCTCCTAGTAGAGGAAGCCCTCACTGCTGGGGCTTCCCATTGGCTCTGGCTCTGCCACCTGCTCTCCCATATCTGCATTACCAGACCGTGAGCATCGAGGCTCACACAGAACAAGGAGCCTGGCCCCCAGAACTCATTCAGCGCTGCTGACCCAGCTTTGGGCTCTACCATAAACATGCTCAGTAAGCAAGCCTGGGGTATAGGTGCAGACTCCTGGGAGCAGAGCCACAGGGCAGGTTTCCCCAAATGTATCCTGAAAGTTTAGTGGTATATAAGTATACACTTTATTTTAATGTGTTTTAGGACAAAAGGTTCCTAACACATCAAAACCATGGTTTTACAGATAAATGTTGCGTAGGATGAAATTAAAGCAAACAGGACGTTTTTTTAAAAGACAATAAAAATCATGCGGGTGACACAAAAACCCTATCTAGGTTGTGCTAACATCAAGTCTGCCCTCAGCATGGGAGTGCCGATTTCTGTCTAGGGGTTCTCATTTCTTAGGTCTGAGAATGCCTTGGAAGAAGTCCTCCTCTGCCATCCTGGGAATATAGTAGCTATCCCTCTGTCCCAACCCCAAGCCTGTGAGCTGCCCACAATTCTCACTTCTTTCCAACACTTGCATACTGGGTGTTTCTTTCCCATTGCCTGGGCCTGACCTGGGCCCCCTCACTGCCATCACTTCTCAGCCTTCCTGCGGGTCCAGTACATAAAGTCTCCTCAGCTGCCTTCTAGTAATGCTGTTTCTACCCTTCACTGCCCTTCTCAGTTACCCTGTGCATTGGGTCTGGGCACTGGCTTGGCTTGGAGGACATACCATGGTGTAGCGAATCACACTGATCCTGAGCTGGCTCCCACTCCTACAGAACTCCTTCTCTCTAGCCTCCATCACCTCCTGCCTCCATACCCGTAGCTGCTGGCTGCCTAGGCATGCTTCCTCCTCTTTCTCTGCAGATCTGGCCTCCAAGGGCCGCTCAAGACTCATCTGTTCTGTGGGGTATTCTTCTGGAAGCTGAATCACACTGGTCCCTCTAGTTCTCTAATTCTTTTACACAGGATGTCTGTACCACACCATTAGAGTTTTTATATGCCCTCAAGGTCTCATAGAGATGACTCCTTAGTCTGTCTGGGTGGCATAGACACACAAGCACACACATGCACTCTTACCAGAACAGAATAATCTTGCTCACCACGAGCCTGACACAGAGCTCTGTGCAGGAACCACTTGAAGAGAAGCAGCTTCAGCACAACAACAGGTGCCAACATTGGCCTGAATCCTGGCAATGCTACCTTTTAGCTTTGTGGCCTTGGGCAACTAGGTTTGAGGATGATATGAAACAGTGTAGAAATTACTGAGCCCAGTACTAGGAATATAATACAATAATTATGGTTGTTGTTGTTCACTAATTGGCAAACATTTGCTATATGTAGATTTGTTTCCTTGTCTAGGCTGTAAACCTCTTGTGGATTTGTGGGGCACAGTCAATGTTCAGGGTACATTTACGTAATAAGTAGAGTGTTCCATTTACACTGTTGTGGGTTCTCATAAATTGGCTCTTAGGTGTAGAAGTTTTTGCAAGCTTATATTAAACTTCAGTATACATACATAATATATATCATGTGTATGTCTGGTTCCCAATGGGTTAAGAATTGTTGAGCTTACCAAAACACAGCTCTTTATTGAGTACTTACTGTATACAGGAGAGAGGGAAGTGCATACCCCTGCTCTCTTCCTGATTAGAAGACTTCCATCTCTGACTGCCCCATCTCCTTTCTTCTCAGCCTGGATGGGTACCTCTGCTCCCTTTCCCTGCAGATCTTGGAGTTTTCAGCTCTTTCAAGCAGGTGCTAAGGCCAGGTCTAAGCAATAGAGGAGTGGGCGGCAGGGCTGTCGTGCTAAGCCCACGCTTCTTTATGCTTAAAGCAAAAAATCCAAAGGAAACATCATCTTGATTTAGGCACTGGTTGCACAGCTGATACAACTATAAAAATCCACTAAAATGTACACTTAACATATATATGTTTTACTATAGGTAAATTGTATCTCCATTTTTTAAAAGGTGATCATAATGCTTTTTGTTAAACAAAGGAAGGCCCAGGGAATTAAACATTGCCCCTCTGAGTTCACCAGCTTCAATTCCACTGTGAGGGCCATGCAGATGGGGGAGGTATTTGAACCCTTCAAAGTCAAGGATACACCCCAGGCAGCCTAGTTTTCCCTACTCAACTCCTAGACATCTGTAAACCTTCTTCATTCTTCACATTTGCACCCGGAAAGAGATGACCCGGCACCCACTTTAGGCCACAGCTCTTTCTTTGGCACAAACCTGCCTGCTGTTGTGAATTATAAGTGTTCAAGTCTTGTCTCTGCCACCTTGAGGTTTTTTACCCCCGTACAATGGTGATAAGACCTGATGTGGCTGTTAGGAGTATCAAATGAGATAATGGATGTGAAAGTCTCACAGGACCGTAAAATATAAGCTGTCAACAAAGTGCACCTGCAAGCCCAGCTGAATTCCACAGTAGTCAAGAGCCACAAGGTTTGGAGGGGTGGTGAAGTCTAGCAGTTCAGCAGGTAGGCTCCGGGGGCAGACAGCCTGGGTTCATTGGTCTGGCCCTGCCTCTTATTGGCTGTGTGACCTTGGCCAAGTGCTTATCCCCTTGGTGCCTCAGTTTCTTCCATTGTCTAATGGGAATAATTATAGCACTTACCCCACAGGACTGTATGAAGGATTAGATTAGTTAATCCAGATAAAGCACTTGGCTCAGGGCTCAGTTATGCAGCTAATATTGCTGGGAGCAAGGGTCTCTGCTGAGCCTTGAGAGAGAACATCTTTATTGGGCAGAAACAGACAAAACCCAAACAGATCTCACTTGAATGTAATGCTTTATGTCCTGGCTATATTTTCCATAATTTGGAACTCAAGATTGATTGTCTAGTAAGTTTTTTCATGCTGAAACCATTCATCTTTTGAGTTTTCCTAATAAATAAAGGACCCCTGTGACATGTCCTTGCCTTCAGAGTTTTGCTGCAGCATCTGTCGTGAGCCCTCTGATTTACAATTCAGCAAAAAAGTGACAGACCGGGCATTCTTGTTCAATCCAAGGTGATTGCTGCATAGTCATTTTTAACAAGACACCAGATTTAGCTAAACGCTTGCATATTAAATTCAGGACACTGGTTTTACAGGCTGAGGCCTTTCAATTATGAGTTGTGAGTTTAAAAATCACATAAAACGGACAGAGTGCATTCCGTGCTGCCTAAGGGGACAAGAGACCCTTGTTATTAGAGTCAAGTGTTGACTCATTCTCCATCTAGCGAATGAAGTAAGTGAAGTATTGAATGAGTGGTTGTGAGGCCCTGGGTAAGGCGGTTACATTTGTTGAAGGTCTACTGAGTGATAGGTGTTTTGGATGTAAGATTATTTAATCAGGCATTATACCATGAGTTAGGTATTATGACTCCCTGTCTACAGATGAGAAAACTAAAACTAGAAAGGTTAAGTCAGGTGTCCAAGTTCACTTTCTTAGGACTGAGCCAGGACGTGATCCCGAGAGCTTTCCCAAGGCCCCATATTACACTGTTTTAAGGTTACCAGTACCAGTATGTTATGTATGAATGGCACCCCCAGGATCTTATTCCTGAGTAGCTTAAAATCAAATAGGAGAGATAAAACACGTTAGCAAATTAGCAGTAACGCATGGTAAAGTCCCATGAGGGACAGAGAACGTGTTGTATATGTTCCTAGAAGAAAGAGGCATTTGTTCTGATGGAGACAAGGAGGATGCCAAACAACTCATCATCTGAAATCCATTTTATTGGGTCTTTCATTTTTATGTGAATGTCCACATATGTATTTCTGATATTCGAAGAATTGTCAAAAATAATTATGAAGCTGTGCCTAGCCCCAGATGGGCGAGGAGATCCTCTCAAATGTCGCACAGTAACATCCCTCTTTATTTCCTCCTTGCCCTTTGCTGAAGATGAAAAATGTCCCATTATACTGAGTTGAGCTTCTCTCCCTCTAAACTCGATGTCCATCTGGCTCACACCTTCCTGAACAAAGACTTGATTTGTATCTGGGCCTCCACTGCCACTCCAGCCTTTTGGTCTTGCAGGTATGTTGAGGTGACAGTATCAGTGGAGAAAACAAAAGTGGAGCACGCATGCTCTGCCGCAGGCTTGGCAAGAGAGATTTTCAGCAGATTAAATGAGAGATGCTGAGACCTGGTGAATTTGGGGCCCAACTATACCATCCCCATGATACTTGGCTCAGCGGGCCACCATCTCTTGAGCAGGGCATGTACTCTGCCCCTGTGAGAGCTTGGCAGTGACCTGCTGCCCGATGCTTCCTGCCTACTGTGGCCCTGCCTGCCCCGACTCTGCTTCTTCCCTTGCCCATTGCCTTGTCTCTCTCTATGCTGGAACCACACTGCTCTTCCTTCTGTGTTTGTAATATTTGGTGTGTGCTCTCTCACTCATCTCTAGACCTTTGTCCATGGCATGCACTATTTCTGGAGCCATCTTTACCCTGTTTTTTACTTGGCCAAATGCTACTCACAGCCCAGGCTTCAGCATAGATGTCAGCTCACGGAAGCCTTTGAGGTGTTTCAATTGCACATTGAAGACACCGCCCCTCACTGTACACTGCTCCTTCTATTTTCTTTTCATTGTGTGCATGCACCCATGCATTTTTTAAAATGTGAAAGATACCACTCGGCTGGGCGCGGTGGCTCACGGCTATAATCCCAGCACTTTGGGAGGCCAAGGCGGGTGGATCACGAGGAAAAGAGATCGAGACCATCCTGGTCAACAAGGTGAAACTTCGCCTCCACTAAAAACACAAAAATTAGCTGGGCATGATGTTGTGCGCCTGTAGTCCCAGCTACTCAGGAGGCTGAGGCAGGAGAATTGCTTGAACCCAGGGGGCGGAGGTTGCGGTGAGCCGAGATCGTGCCATTGCACTCCAGTCTGGGTAACAACAGTGAAACTCCGTCTCAAAAAAAACAAAAAAGAAAGATACCACTTTGGGGGAATATGCTCAGTTGGAGCTGTTCTTGCCCTTGCTTGCCCCCCATCCCAGCTGTACTCCTGAGTTAGCCCATGGTAGAGAGAGGCTATTGCACCCTGGGAATATCAGGGGACATGACCACTTAATGTCAAGGACACGTGCCAGTAGACATGTTGGTGCACCCCGGTAGTGCACTGGTACCCAGTGACTATATATTTTCCATCCCACTGGGTCTTGTTTGAAACTACCACATTGGGATTAGGTCTGCTATTGTTAGCCCTTCCTATTCCCGTGCCTTCTTGGAGCTCCAGAGACCTTCTAGCAGTGAGTTCTCACCTAGCCCTCCTCTCTCTAACAAGACCTTAGGTCAGGAAGGAAGTTCCTGTATGGTGAGAAGCCTGCCAGGCTTGGGAAGCCAAGGTGCCCCATTGCATATCTGTTCCTGCTTACTGTTCTCACAGCAGAAGTCTTCCTGGGGGAGCTTCAGTTTGTCAGCTCATCATGATTGTCCTCTTAAAAGACTTTTTATTTGGTATCGGATATTAGGAGGTCTGTCCTTCTCCTACCCTGTGCCCCTTCTCCCAGAAAAAGAGACTAATGCACAGAGTGGAACTTTAGCTTTTCTTAAGTTGTACAGGAAACCAGAGGTCAAGACTCCAGCCCACATCTTTTGACCCTTGATGCAGGTCCTGTCCACTGTCCCATTCCACTTTTTCTGTGGCTCCTTCATGGCTCTGACCTCCCCCATTCTCAGGAAGAAGCCTGAAACCCCCAGCCTACAAAATAGCCCGTGAGAGAGAAGCATCTGGAAGTGTGTGCTAAAGCTCTCAGAGCAATGGGGGGATTCTCCCACATGGCTGCTGTCTGTAGGGTAAGGTTCTGGGCTCTCTAAGGTCTGAGAATTTGAATTCCTAGAACTAGAGAAGGCCCATGTCAGTTCAAAAGTCAGAGCAGAGGAAAATTAGGAATCTTGTTCCTAATGCAGAGGAACAAAAGAAGTGGAGCCACAGCCCCAGAACTGTCAACAGAAAGGGCAGAGGTAGGATGGTCACTGGCAAAACTCCATACCTATTATTTTTATAAAATCTCCCCCACAGCTCCTTGGACAGCCATGTGAACAGATATCTTTGGCCTCTTTTTGCAGGTGAAGAAACTGAGGTTGGAGGCAGGCTGGGATAAGGACCTAAGCCTCCTGAATCCCAGCCTCAGGATCTGCCATCGTACCTCCCTGCTTGCAAAAAATCACCCCTACCTCCTAGATATGTTCTTTCCTCCTCTCTGTGAAAAAAAATATCACCTTGGAATGTACTTTCAGAGATCATTTCAAAAATCATTCACTGGAGCCTTCTATGGCCAGGTTCCCTGGTAAGTTCCAGGCTTCCAGTGCAAAATGACACAGGGACTTTCTCCTGCAAGCATTCACAGCCTTCTGGAGAAGTTTAGGGTACAAAACTGAGGTTCTTAATGTCTTTCTGGTCACAAACCCCTTTGAGAAACTGATGGAAACTATGAAGAATTTCCTTAGAAAAATGTTGCTGCATATTTTAATTTAAAAACAAATGTTTGCATATGGGGGTTGCTATGATTTGAATGTTTGTGTTCCCTACAGAATTCATGTAGAAACTGAATCTCTAATACAGCAGTATTAAGAGGCGAGGCCTTTAGGAGGTGCTTAGGTCACAAGGGTTCCACTCTTGTGGATGGGATTAGCGGGGTTTGTTGTTGTTGTTTTTTTTAGACGAAGTCTCACTGTCACCCATGCTGGAATGAAGTGTGGCATGATCCTGGCTCACTGCAACCTCTGCTGCCCAAGTTCAAGTGATTCTCCTGCCTCAGCTTCCCAAGTACCTGGGATTACAGGTGCCCGCCACTGCGCCTGGCTAATTTTTGTAGTTTTAGTAGAGACGGAGTTTCACTGTCTTGGCCAGGCTGGTCTTGAACTCCTGACCTCGTGATCCACCTCCCCTTGGCCTCCCAAAGTGCTGGGACTACAGGCGCGAGCCACTGCAACTGACCTGAGATTAGCGTTTTAATAAAAGAGCTCAAGGAGGCAAGTTCACTCCTTCCATGCTCTCTTGCCCTTCTACCTTCTGCCATGGGAGATGTTACAGGAAGGCCCCAGCAGACACTGAATGTCAGTGCCTCGATATTGGACTCCCCGACCTCTACAACAGAGAAAGAAAGTCTCTGTTCTTTATAAATCCCCAGGCTCAGGTATTTTTTTTTTTTTTATAGCAGCATGGACAGACTAAGACAGGGGTTAGCAAGTCTCGCAGAGGCAGTGTGAGGACCTGCCACACCCTGCCTCAAGTGTTCATGGATTTCAGATGAAGAAGCCATGGGGCCGGGCACAGTGGCTTACTCCTGTAATCCCAACACTTTGGGAGGCCAAGGCAAGTGGATCACTTGAGGTCAGAAGTTTGTGACCAGCCTGGCCAACATGGCAAAACCCCCATCTCTACTAAAATTACAAAAATTAGCTGGGCATGGTGGTGCACACTTGTAATCCCAGCTACTTGGGAGGCTGAGGCAAAAGAACTGCTTGAACCCAGGAGGCAGAGGTTGCAGTGAGTCAAGATCGCGCCACTGCACTCCAGCTTGGGTGACAAAGGGAGACTCTGTCTCAAAAAAAAAAAAAAAAAAAGAAGCCATGAGACCAGATGATGCAGATGATGAGATTATATAGTCTTGTTCTTAACAACAGTTGTTAATTCTCCAAAGGAAACTTATAACCACTGAACAGAGGAGAAAAGCATGGGTGTGGTTTTTCTGGTCATTGTCACCATTGTTTCTGGAGTCAAAGTTCTACATGTTTCACTGTCCTATGGTCTTTGATTTTTCATCCCAGGGTTGGAGGGGAAACCAGACATAGAGGGGGTAGCCAGCACCAGCCCAGTAGTGGCATCTGGAGAGAATGTAGCCATCTAGCTCCAGTGTTCTGCTTCTATGCAGGGAAGGCAAGAGGCTAGGTGGGATGTTGAAGGAAACTTAGGGAAAGAGCTAGAAGTCAAGCACAGAAGTTCTGCAATGGGATTTATCAGAGTTTTTAAGATAACTCAACTTTGAGATGAACAGGAGATTGAGAAAGACTTTATAAGGTCTTCCTAAGTGATGCTGACAGCTAAGAGTGGCATGCCCCTGAGAGTCTATGATTATCTCACAGGAGAGATCTTTATGGGAGCCTTATTAAGAACAGAGCATGTCAGTGGGAGGAAGGGAGCAGCAGCATGTTCACAGCTCTGGAGGGCAAGTGAGGCAGCCTCCTTGATTTGCAAAGTGCTTTGCAGTCCTTTTTCATTATTTCTGCAACAGACCCATGAGACTGGTAGAAAATCACCCTGCTCCCCATGAATTGTAGAACACTAGGAGGTAGTGGGCTGTCCATCTATAAGTGTCCTTATAATAACTGGATGGACTATGGGTTTGCCCCTCTACAGCCAGCATGATGTGAAAACCTGGATTAGAATGTCTCACCACTCCCCAGACCTTGGAGTCCTGTGCTCCCTTGTGTAAGTGGCCTCCTCAGAACAAAAGCATACAAGCTGGTCCCCCTATGAGATTGTAACCCCTCAAGCATGCTCACTAGGTAGAGGAAGGTCTGACATCCCCACTGCAGGCTTGAGGCTTGCCCTGGAGCCTGGTAACATGAGCCTCTATCTTAGGTGTGTGTGAGAAAAGAAATGCAGAAATGGAGTGGGCTGAGGAAAAACCCAGGAGAGATGGATCCTTGGAGAGCATTTCGTCCAGTCCTTTCCCTTGACATGTCGGGGAGAAATGTGACACGGCTTTGCTGCTAGATGGTGAAGACTGGCGATGAGGGTGATAATGATAGCACGTTTTCAGTGCTGCATCCCAGTCATGTGCATGGTATGACCCATGCACCCTGCGAGATGAGCTTCACAGCGTGGTCGAGTATCCGTATTATATACTGAGACCCTGGAGCTAGAGCCCCAGCACTCAGCTCCAGCACCTTCTGGGTATATAACTGGGTTTCTTACTATGGCTACTGCAAATGGCCACAGATTTTGTGGTTTAAAACAATAAGATTTGGCCAGGCCCAAGCCTGTAATCCCAGCACTTTGGGAGGCCGAGGCGGGCAGATCACAAGGTCAAGAGATCGAGACCATCCTGGCCAACATGGAGAAACTCCATCTCTACTAAAAATACAAAAAAAATTAGCTGGGTGTGGTGGTATGTGCCTGTAGTCCCAGCTACCCGGGAGGCTGAGGTAGGAGAATTGCTTGAACCTGGGAGGCAGAGGTTGTAGTGAGCCGAGATCGCGTCACTGCACTCCAACCTGGCACCTGGCGACAAAGTGAGACTCTGTCTCAAAAAATAAATAAATAAATAATAAGTAATATTATTTTATAATTCTGTTGGTCAGAAACCCCACCCAAGTTCACCGGCCTAAAATCAAAGTGTCCGCAGGCTGTGTTCCCTTCTGGGGCTTCAAGGGGGATAATCCATTCCTTGTTCTTTGAGATCTTTGGCAAAATTCAGAGCCCCCTTTTCATCCTGGGTGGAGACTGAGGGCTGTTCCTAGGTTCTAGAGGTGCTGCCACATATCTTGGCTGGAGGCCCCTGCTTTCTTCCATCTTAAAAGACGGGGGGGGGGGCGGGGGAGCAAGTTGAGTTTTTCTCAGGCACATCTGACTCTTCCTCCATTGTTATATCTCTCTTTCCTTCTCTGATCCAGCCAGGAAAGGTTCTCTGCTTTTAAGGACTCATGTGATTAGATTGGGCCTACCCAGATAATCCAGGATAATCGCCACATCTCATAACCTTAATGGCATCTGCAAAGTCCCTTTGGCCATGTGAAGTTCCAGGGATTAGGATGTGGACCTCTCTGTGGAGGGAGGAGGCATTATTCTGCTCATCACAGTGATCTAGGGAAATGTGCTTGACTTCTTGGTTTAAGTGGGGAAGATGATGGTACCCACCTTGGGTTATGAGGTTGGGATGTGGAACCCTGCAGCACAACACCTGGAACGTTGATAAATACTTAGTTGGTGTTAGCTGTGAGAGTTGTTATCAAACCTGTTTTACAGTTGAGGATGCTGAGATTTCAGACTTTGATTAACTCAACCGAAGAACAAGATTTAAACCCCTTGCAAGAAAAGACAAACTGCACTGTATTCATCTCTTTCATCCTGCACAGTGCTGGCCCATAAAAGATGTTCAGTAAATGGGTGTTGAATGAATGAGGAGACCCAGAAAGAGTAAATGACTTGGTCTGAGTGCTATTAGACTCAGAGAAGGTCAAAGATGAAGGGACTCTCAGAAGAAGTCAAGTTCGAGCCTCTCATCTTATACCTGGGAATCTGAGGCTCATTGGAAAGGGGGCCTCCCTCAGGAGATGGGCAGAACAGAGCCCCAGAATGTGGCCAGTGCCTGTCTGGCCAGTATGTCTTCCTCCAGACCAGGCCATATTCACTTCCGTGAAGGTCTCTAGACCCCATGGTCTAAGCAGAGCCAAAAGCTGGTCCAGCAGGATAGAAGTGTTGACTCTGGCCTGACCCCTAATGCAGCATCACTCAGTAGAAGAGTGAGAGCTCCGCCCTTTCTTCCTGTGGTGGCCTTTAGAGAGGTCCATCTGAAGCTTGTTCTCAGGCTTCTCTAGACCTCCTAAGGCTGCTCCCCAGTAGGACAGCAGCCAGATGCCCATGGCTCACTCTTGCCCATGTTAATCTTCTCTGCTGTGACCTAAGGCTGCATGGCATAGATTGGGGTACTTGGGTTTTTTTGTGTTTTTTTTTTTTGAGACAGAGTTTCACTCTGTCATCCAGGCTGGAGTGCAGTGGTGTGATCTCTGCTCACTGCAGCCTTCACCTCCCAGGTTCAAGCAATTCTCATGCCTCTGTCTGCCTCCCAAGTAGCTGTGACTACAAATGCACACTACCACGTCTGGCTAATTTTTTTGTATTTTTAGTAGAGATGCACTATGTGGGCCAGGCTGGTCTTGAACTCCTGACCTCAAGTGATCCGCCTGCCTCGGCCTCCCAAAGTGTTGGGATTACAGGCATTAGCCACCACACCCGACCCAGAACTTGCGTTTTAGTCTGCCCATTTACACTTACAGTTTTGTGGTTTTTAGGGCCATTTGGCTTCTTGGGACTAATTTTCTTCATCTGTAGCCCATCTGGACACTTTTAAGGTCTCAAACAATCATGGTTTCAGGTGCCCTTCAGAGGATGGTTCAAAAACTTTCACATCATCCTCAGGGACAGAGCTGTGCTGTTTTTCCAAGGGCTTCCAGCTCCACTGAAGCTGAACACAAGTTGGCAGCCAGTGATATCTTTCTGGACAGCTGGTAATGTCCCCCATCTCCATGGGAACCAGCTAAGGCAGGACAGGGTGCCAACCCATACCTCTGCTGTGCTAGGCCACCTCTGACATGAGGCAGCCACAGGAAATGCATTATATCTATATAGAGCAGGATGTGGCCTTTATGCTGTCTCATTGAAATCACGGCTTCGCTGTCTGTTTCAGGAGGATTGAGTGAAATCTGAATTGGCTTTCCTAGGCAAGAAATTCCAAGTGTCATGATGTCAGGGTTGCCAGGTAACTGAGTGGAGGAATGGAGTATATGGGTTGTGCCTGGAAAGGGAGCTAGTGCGTGTTCCTACTACATACCAGCTCCAGGCTTGGCACTTTTGTACATTGCTTACCATGGTTTACTGCAGGTATGATTTGCCCACTTTTACAGAAGAGGAAATGGAGGTTGGGAGGTGGTGACTCTCCCTGATCACCCAGAGGGAAGTAGCAGAAACTGTTTGGGCACTAGCTAGTTAAATATGAGCTAAGTTCAGTTGCCAAGTCAACATCTGAGTTTGTGCACACTGTTGAGATCTGATGAGGCTGGAACCGTCTTCTGTGCCTTCTAAGGGGAGGATGGAGTTCATTCTGGCAAATAGGGAATCAATAAAACAGTGGCATAATAATAATAGCTCCATCCATTAGTAAGACAGTAAGCATTTATTGAGTGTCTGCTGTGTGCTCTGTTCTAGTCACCAGGGGTATACCTCATTCAGTGAGCTGCCATTCTAGTTTCATGAAAATGGAGAAACACACAAAGTTAACTATATGAGATCATTGCCAGCACTGAGTGCCATGAAGAGTGTGTTGGAGGATAGCGGGGGAGCTACTTTAGCTGAAGTAGGCAGGGAGAGCTTCCTGAAGGAATGAAGTCTCAGACAGGATGCAAATGATGAGAATGGGGCAGCCATGGAAAGGTCTGAGGAAAGAGCTTTCCAAGCAGAAGGAACAGGAGTACAAAGACAGAGTCAGTGGTGAGCCTAAATGTGCAGGGAAGCCATTGGAGGGAGTTAATTAGGAGAGAGATGATCTGACTTCTACTTTGAGTGTGCTGTGGCTTCTGTGTGGAGGACGGGCTGTGGAGGGGCAGGAGAGGAATCAGGGAGACCAAGGAGGGAGCATCATAGCCTTTCAGTTGGGTGGAAGATGGTGGTGACTGGAACCAGGGTTGCAGCAGTAGATGGTGAGAAATTATTAGAATCAGGCAGTATTTTGGAGTTAAAGTAAATAGGGCCTATTTATGATTAGGACAGTGGTGTTCTGGTAAACGAGCCAAGGGTGGGAGGGAGGCTCTTGTTGGTAGAGCTTGCCAGTTTCTGTGGTGTAATATTTCCACCACGCCTGGTTTCAAGCTACCCATCTAACCAGTGAGTGATGCACAGTTAGCTCTCATGAGCCAGTACAGCCCACTCCAGCACACTACTGGGTTAGGCCATGGAAGATAGAAGCAAGAAGGACCAAAGAGCATTCCATGGCTTTGCTGTGAGCACCTGGGTAGATGGGGATGCTGTCTACTAAGGTAGGAAAGACTAAAGGTGGAAAGAAAGAGCCTCAGGGAGTGGTGGGAAAAAATGGTTTTGCTCTGGCCATGTAATTTTTAAATGCACATTAGATATCTGTTTATAAGTTTGGGCACTTGCATTCTTTATGTCATTTAAATGTCAGTCCTTTCAATAACTATGAGTTTGGTGGTTTCTTCTCCATTCACAAAACAATAAACTGAGGATTCAAGGGACCAAGAAACTTAACCAAGGTTGTACACTCAGTAAATAACAGAGCTGGGTTTGAACTTAGTTGAACTGGGTTTGAACCCTGCCCCAAGAGCCTAATCATTGCCCAAACTGCCCTCCAGAAACCATCTTACTCTTAGCTTGATGCTTCATTTTCGGGATTTAAAATGTGGGTCTTTAGGACGTTTTGGAATAGCCTTTATGCCAGAGAAGTCATCACAGAATGGTTGCTCAGAGACCAGAGTCTGACCTTTCATGTGTTGTGTGGTTTTGTTTTTGGAGGTATGGTGGTTAGGGAAAAAGGAAGGTGAGGATGGGAAACTGTTTGTTTCATTTTGGTTTATTGGCCCATGCAGTGTTTTTTTTTTTTTTGGTTGTTTGTTGTTGTTGTTGTTGTTTTTTTTAAAAAAAAAAAGAGAGCGAGAGAGAAATGTAATTGCTTTAGACACGTCTGTGCGCCCCTGCCGCTGCCCTTGGGCTCCTCCATTCCCTGCTATCTCACCACCTGCCCAATTGATACACGTGACACTTGCTTGGCTTGGGAGATATCCAGTGTCCCCTGCTCTAGAGGAGCCCAGGTGTAGTGGCCTTTGCAGGCAGGCTCTTGGCTTCATCCTTGCACCTCAGGGAGTGAGCACCTGGTTCCCACCCTGTCTCCAGGTCTGAGCTGGTCATTAGAGCCTAGGGTGTGTTTGATTTGCACTCTCTGCTGCTCACTTCCTGACCACTGCCAGCTACCTAAGACACCACTGTGCTTCAACGGTAAGAGCCGTGGCCTTTGGCCAGGCGCAGTGGCTCATGTCTGTAATCCCAGCACATTGGGAGGCCAAGGCAAGAGGATCACTTGAGCCCAGGAGGTCAAGGCTACAGTGAACCATGACAGCGCCATTATACTCTAGCCTGGGTGACAGAGCAACACTCTGTCAATAAAAAATAGTAATAATAATAATAATTGTGGTCTTTCTGATTCTACACATACTGAAGCAATCCCACCTCTTTCCCTGACTTCATTGGTATTATTTTCCCTGGTATTATTGTTATTATTTTGCTAATATAATGTGGCTTAGAGGTACTGTTTTTCTGTCTACAACCTTTTGGTCTTCTTTCTGGTGATATAATCAGTTTGATGGTGTTCTTCAGTGTCACTAGGCATGGCTGGAGCTGAGTGGAAGCTGTTGTCAGGTAGTCTGAGAGGAGCACATGACTGCGTAAATGGCTGTGTCTGCCTGGCTCCCTGGACTGAGAAGCCTCCATTACCTGCCTGGGCAGTGCTGGACTTGGTTACCTGAAGAGGCATAGCAGGACTAACAGGAAGGTGTAACCCTACAGTTGGCATGACCAGGTAGCCCTGAGCATGATGCCAGGGCTGATGGCAATTTGCAGAGCCAAAAAGGGAGGCCAGCCTGCCTCCGCCTGCCTCCATCTGCACAGTTATATGTTCCAAGTACAACCAGAGAGGAAGGCTTTTCCAGGCTCAGCCAGGGCCACCACCAGGCCAGACTGGAATAGGCAGAGGCATACCCAGAGAGTGGCAGGGCTCTTCAGGCATTTCCATGTATGTACCTCTTTAGTAAAAGATGTTTGAGCTGGTAACCCTATGTGTGTGTGTGTGTGTGTGTGTGTGTGTGTGTGTGTATAGATATACAGATAATAAAATACATAAGGAAAAATAGAAAAATAGAAAAATTAACTAAAAGTTATCATAACTAGAAATGTGATGTTTTCTTCCATGCCCCTATGGATCCTGACCACCACCTTTAGTCTGTGGACCTTGAGCACCAGGATAGTGGGAAGAGCCTGGTGATCAGAAAACTTAGCTCCAAGCCCCAGTTCTGCTAACTAACTTGCAGCATGCTGTGGGCACATCTCCTGGCCACACTGCTCCACTTCTGTCAGGTCTGCGTGAATATCACTTTCAGACCACCTGATATAAATTAGCATCCCACTCTTACCGCCCCTTCACTTACCCTGCTTCTTGTTTATTAAAAGTGTATAGTGCTACTTGACATGTGTATGTGTGTATATATATATGTGTGTGTGTGTGTGTATACATACATATACATGTCAAGTATATATATAAATTTATTTGTTTGTTGTTATACATGTTTTTAGCTATCTTCGTGTATGCTCCATGAGAATAAGGATTATCTTTTGTTCTTTGCGGTGTCTATGGTACATAGTCGGAGCTCAATAAATGTTTGTTGATTGAGTGAATTAACTTTTGCTTAATATAACCTAATGCTACTTAGTAAACTTCTTTAATGGAGGAGAAATTAAAAAGACCTTCATGCTTAAAAGGAGGATCTGGAGGGTAGAATCACTTTGAGGAATATCTGCTTTGTATAGCAATACCATTGTTGTTTTTGTGATTTTTGTTTGTTTGTTTGTTTGCTTGCTTGTTTTGAGTTTGAGTCTTACTCTGTCACCCAGGCTGGAGTGCAGTGGCATAATCTCAGCTCACTGCAACCTCCACCTCCCAGGTTCAGGTGATTCTCCTGCTTCAGCCTCCCAAGTACCTGGGATTATAGGCACATGCCACACCCAACTAATTTTTGTGTGTGTGTGTATTTTTAGTAAAGACAGGGTTTCACTGTGTTGGCCAGGCTGGTCTCAAACTCCTGACCTCAAGTGATCCACCCTTGTCAGCCTCCCAAAGTCCTGGGATTATAGGTGTGAGCCATTGCACTTAGCCCCCATTATTGTTTTTACACATGTGAAAACAAGTACTAGGGACCAGGAGCTATAAATAGTTGGATCTCTGCTGACTACCAGGCACTGTTAATGGATGGTTGGATGGATGGATGAACGGACAAATGAATGGACAAATAGATAAAATTTAATCTTCACAATAACCCAGTGAGATTAAATTTCATTGTCTCCATTTCACAGATTAAAAACAAACAAAAAAAAAAACCACAAAACTTTGAGGCCCAGAAACTCAAGTGTATGTAATTCCAAAGTGCCTAAAATTATGACTAAGAGAATGTGGGTACTCAGTGAGTGTCAGTGGAATGAAAGAAATCCCAGCTTGTTACACTTGTAGAACTTCTCAAGCTTTTCCAATGAGTAGCTTTTGTGGAAGAAGATGGTGAGCATGTGCCCAGGAGAGTTGAAGGGCATCACCTGACACACTCTACCTCAAGCCAGAGTTGCTTTTTTTTTTTTTTTTTGACATCTGGCTTTTTATTTTAAAAATCCATGTGAATTTGTGTATTTTCCTTCATATGGTGAAACGAACTCCTCCTATTTGTTTTACACTAAAAATTATGCTTTTGATCATAAAAAAAAAAAAAAAACTTCAATGAAAGCTGCTGCTCTGCATTTACTACAGGAGTAGCATGCTCCTGGTGTGAATTTTGTGTACCTATGAGCTGCCCAGCCTGGTGTACATAACCACAGTGGAGGCTGCTGTGGGGCCTGGTCTTTTCCAGGCCCCTCAGTAGGATTTCGTGCCATTCGCCCCCTGTGCAAACACAGCTTGTCCAGAGGAAGTGGGACATTCACCTCCAAGCCCTAGCCATCTGTTGTTTCAGGCCTGGATGAGGGCTTTACCTGGGCGAATGGGGCCTTCAGCAAATAGTGCCTCACCTGGTCCCCTGATAAGGGGTTACCTCTTCAGCAGATTTTATAGCTCTGCCCTTCATCCATAATCATAGTGTGGGTGGGGAGAGCCAGTATGAAATATCCCTGAAGCTGTCGGAATAGCTTTTATGGTTGGTTTTATATAAACCTGAGTTCTGGTGTGGTATGTGAAATGGACCACTGAGACTCAGCCCATAAGACTTTGATGTCACATAGCTGAGGGCCTCTTTTCTGGTTCATGTTTCAGTGACTGGGTTTCTGAGCATCTTCTCTAAGGTAGGGGTCCAGGCTCCAGGATTTCCATTGACTTGTGGATAAGGTTTCTTCACTCTTTATGTCTTTGCTTGCCTCTTCCTGGAAACTGAGTCCAGGGATGTACAGAGTCATGTGTGGTTTAAAACTGGAAGGGATCATAAAGACCATCCCAGTCCTTTTATTTCTCAGATGGGGAACTGAGGCCCAGAGACAGAAAGGGAGGCCTTGCCCCATTGTTCTCTGCCAGTCTGCAGCCTCTCAGCCTGAGGGCTGTGGAGTTGGTGCCCTGGGTGTCTGTCCCTGTCAGGTAACAGGTGAGGCTTTGTTCAGCTTTTCTTATCTGGTTAATCTCCAACCTGTGGGTATGTCAAACAACCAGGACCCAAAGACAGGAAGAGATGAGGAGAATGAGGATGTACAAGTCCAAAAACAGGACGGCACAATTATCTGGGCAGTGTGGCTTACGCTTTATGTGAAAGACTCAGTTGTTCCATGCTCAGATTCGGCCCAGCCTACTCCATAGCCAGGTGCAGACCTTAGCTGGCAGCTCACCTCCCAGCCTTCTGAAATCTGGCATGGGGTAGGCTCAGAGTTGATTCACCCTTACCCAAGGAAAGGATTCCATTCAGGACTCTGCCCAAATGTCACCTCTTCCAAGAGGACTTCTGTGACACCTTGATTCACAGAAGTCGTCATCAGTTGCCATCCCCACGTTCTGCTTAATTCTTCATTTATTACCACATTTCCTGTATTTATTTGTTCATTTTCTTTTTTCCTTTTCTAGAATACATGTTCCCTGAGAGGCAGGTCTGGATCTGTTTTGTCCCCTGCACCTAGAAGAGTACCTGGCATGTTCTCTGTGAGCGGGGATTAGAGAGAGAGTAGGACTTGCGGGGGACAGCTCGGAAGGACTAAGAGAACTGGGAAAATGGAAGGGACGGGGTCAAGGAAGAGAATGAGCACCCTTTTCTGAACCCCCTAAATAAATCTGAGTGCAGACTGGGTTTGAAAAGAGCTGCTTCAAGGGGCTCATCTGTGATTCCTGGAAAATCACGAGGCTTGGGCACTGGCACCTTAAGTCAAGGGTTTTTGATTTCCTCGTGGTCCAACCTATATTTCCCAAGGGGTCTCAGCTCCTCCTAGGCTCAATATCCTCTCCACCTGGCAGGACAGGGCCCTTCGCAAGATGGAGCCTGGTCCCAATACAGGGTGTGCCTCGGTGACAATGACATCCCTGTGGCTACCTGCCAGTGCTTTTCTCATCTGGTTGGCAGATTAGAGAGAGAAAGAAAATGTAGGGGCTTGGAGAGGCCCAGACCATCTGGTCCATTCCCATTTATTGCAGATGGGCAAGTGCGACTGTTGCCCAGAGAGGGTAAAGGACCTACCTAAGGACACATAGTAAGGCATTGACAGATGTCTACTTTTAAAAAAATTGTTTTCTCTATTATTGTTCATCTTTTATGCATCCTTCCTCCTCCAGCCTCTCCTACAAAAAAAAAAAAAAAAAAAAATCCACAAAAGCTTAGCAAGGACTTCCTAATGCTTGCTGTGGCATAACTGACCCTCTTGAGCCCCATAGCTCTGAGAAGTTCATGCATCTTCAGAAATGCGCCCAGTAAGACGAATAGCGTTTCTGTTGAGAGAGAGTGGCTCTAATGAGTCAGGCATTTCCCAGGTTCATATTCTTTGGAATTCTGGTTCTGTGAGCTTTTAACTTGTGTTCTATACCTCCCCTCAAAAGAGTTGTAAGGTCAAGTAAGTGCAGAAAATGCTGCCTGCTACAAAACTCTTGAAGAGAGACAATGGACTTTAGCATATTAAAGGGTCTGAGAAGTTCTATAATTAAGAAAAATCCAACAGCTCTTTTTGTATAATTCAGAGTTTCCCACACTTGTTTGACCTCAGAACTCTTTTTGCATGAAAAACTATTGGCCTTTCACAGAGCTAGGCTTCCTCCAACCACAGACCAACCAGACCACTCACACAAGGGAGTACTCAGCACTTACTTTTCATTTTATACAGTCATGGCTTTTTGTTACTTCAGTGTAAAATACACTGGGGAAAAAACATGACATATAAGAGGCCTCCTCCAAAGGGATTGGGGTGAAGTACCCTCCAACCAACTTTTCACTTCTTATAACCAGAAAGACAAGAGACAGCTTCATAAAAACATCTCTTCTTCTTTATATCCTTGTGATTCTGTTTTTATTGTTCTAAGAGCCTACAGGCTCTTTCCATTTTGTGAATGCAGCAAAACGTGCCCCTTACTCAAATGGCTTTCAAGACAGGCCAGAAGGACTTCACCATAAGGAAAATGTATCTGTGCCACTCATGTAGCTTGGGAGGTGGAGTAGCATTGCACTAAGTGGATTTGAATCCTCCCATCACCAGGAATCATTACTTAATCTAGCTGTGTCTGTTTCCTCATCTGTAAAATGGAGTGCTTACAGTACCCGTCTAAGGCTGTTTTGAGGATTACATAAGATCTGTGTTTAACATTTAGAATGGGTCCGGGTACAAAGCCAATACTTAAATATTACTTTTATTGTCATAGAATGAGAACTCTATGTATTTTGTTCACTACTGTGCATGTCCCCAGTGTCTAGAACAGGGATTAGCACATAGCAGGTGCTTAGTAAAGTTTGGTTGGATGAATGAGTGAATGAGAAAATGAGTGGAAGGTCTTCAATGTATAGAGAGCAATATACTTTCTGAGAGTCAGATTCTAGCAGAGAAGGCACCAGATTAAAGGTGAGCTGCTTGCTGTAGGGCAAGACTTTTGCCTCCTCTGCTGTGTCCTCTCTGTGTATGAATGAGAAGCCAACGCCCAAGAGGGTACAAGTCATGGTGTGGAACTCAGAAGCAGAACATGAGGTAATTTCCTGGAAGGTGACGTGTCATCTGAATGTTTCAGGCCTTAAGGTTCCAAACTTGTGGATTTCTATTCCTGGTTACTACACACAGGTCTGTGTCTGCCCAGCCAGAAAGTTGCCAGCATGAGAGTTGCCACCATTTATCCCTTGGAGCTTCTCAGAGAGGATGCTGCCTGTGGAGCTGCTTTTGAAGGGGAAGTGCTTCTAGCTGTCTGAAGCAGGCTGAGGCTCCCCTTGGCTGCCTTGACACTCTTGTTCCCCAAAGGCTCTGTGTCCCCTTGTCTGTGGATTGGCACCACATAATGGCATGCAAACCCTTGGCCCGCTGATGTTGATTTTACTTTCTCTTGAGGAAATATAACCAAGGACCAAAATAAACAGCCCAGATGCTATGCTGACCCGACTCTGCTGGGAAGCGTGATATTGATTTGCCCCCAGCCTCTCTGCCTTCAGTATCCTCATCTCTGCCTGAGGCTCCTAAGCTGGAAGGTTGATTCACTTCTTTCCTTGGCAGTGTGTTCACCCAAACACCCACACCCACTTTGTTTATCTTCCTAAAGAAGCCAGCATTAGTTATTTTTAAGGACTGTGAGTGACCCTAAGTGCCCAACCCTCCTGGTCTGGCTGGAGGTAGGAGGTCACACCCCAAGGAGAGTCTACCTGTCTCAACCTCTCTGGCTGGAAAACCCAGTAGCCACTAGCCTAGGGAATGGCAAAGGCCTGAGCAAACACTTGTGCAACCAGCTAGGCTCAAAGCCTTGGCCCTCTGGCCAGAATGCCCTTAGGCTGGGGGTACTCATGTTTGGTGGGGTAGGGCAGTTCAGACTGATCTCCAGAGAGGGGGTTGACAGACATGCTTGTGGCCTGGAGCTAAATACTGTCTTTAGGGAAGTGCAGCTGGAGAGAAGGGTTAGCTGTGATTCAGCCAGGCCTGCAGTTCCTTACCCTCACCCATGAGGCTCTAATACCCAGTTTGGGGAGACCTCACTGAAAGCCTGCATGAACCCATGAACTATTTCAAAGTTGACCCAGCTTCCCAATTCTGCAGTTTCCATTTGCCCCAGTCCCAGTCCCTGGGTGGTTCGCTTCTTAAATCCAGGGAGTCTTCTCCAAGGGAATAGGAGTTTTTGAGGGAGTGTGGTTCAGAATAGGACCAGCCCCTTGCCCTCTGGTTTCCCCCAACTCCATTCCAGTAACCACACTGGGCATGCAGGGGGCCCTTTCCAACTCAAAGATCCCTTAAGAGAAAACATTCTAGCCTTAGAAATTGGGGAAAACAGTCTACCTCTGTCCCCCTGGTCATCTGACTGGGCCAGAGAACCTGTTTCCTTGAGGGGTGGGCAGTGTGTGGCCATCAGGATCTGCACTTGGCTAGTTAATGCTCACCCACCAGCTGCCTGTGAAAATGCTGTCTATGTCTTTCTCACCCCACAGCTCGTCGGGGAGTTTAAATAAGGTGCTGGGGCACTTTTCTGCAAAAGACATCTATTGGCTGACCAGGCAGAGATACTTAGCCACAACTCACAACTCAGGGTGCAGTTGAAAGAGGAAGAAGGGGCATGATGTATGGATCTCATGCCCCCTTGAAGGCTGGTGATTTAGATAAGTTATGTCTTTTAGCATTTGACTCCCTCAAAGAGACTGCAGGACTTCCCTCTGATTGCAGGTGGCTCAGTCCACTCAGAACACCCAGAAACTTGATAGAGATTTAGAATCTTAAAAAGACAGAGCTTAGAGCATGTAGCCCAGCCCATCAACAGATGAGGAACTGAATCCCGCAGAGACTATGAGGAGGCAGGTAGAACTAACAGAGCTGAAGGCCAGCTGGACACTATGCAGTCTAGGCAAAGGGCTCCGCTGCTGCAGCCTGTGCCTGTCCACCATGTCCCTTTGGCTCCTGGCACCTGCATGCTCAGGTCTCCTCGACATCCCCTGAGAGCACACACCCAACAATTGTTCCTAAAGGGAGTGCTCCTAGGGGAATGGCCGCTGAGAGGGAGGCTTCCATTTAACATGGGACTTTGGTGGAAATGCAGAGTGTGTCCTTACTCTACTGGGATCACCCAGGCCTGTTTGGGAGCTAAAAGAGTGGCCCAGCCTTGTAGCTAGCCACTTGCCTGTTGGATTAAGATAAATGTGCATGATTCTGGCAGGAGATAAGATATTTACCTTATTTTTTTGACATGCATGGATTTCATGGGCTCTGTGTGAAGTAGGAAGGGAAATGGAGTGATAGAAGTTGGTAGATGAGCATTTTATATATAGAACTTGGACTTTTATCATTTGAAGTTTTCACAAAATGGGATCAAAGCTCCCCAGTTTTCACTGAGATGGTGATTCTGATGGTGAACTGGTTGACCTTTGCTGGCAAGTCTACATTAGTCTACCATGAGGAGAAGAAGTGTGTGGTGTGAGCAATTCTGGCTGAAGTTTAATTTGCAGAATCAAACCTTAGGCATGACTTTCAAAATAGTTGTGTTGGAGAAAAGAGAGCCTGGGTTAACTATATCTTTTCTAGTACCCTCACCAAACACAGACACACACACATATACAGAAGAGAGAGACAAAGAGAGAAAGAGATCATTCAGTTTGAATCCATAGAATTGGCCATGGGAGGTAGATTGGAGGAGAGAAAGAGAAAGTGGAGGTGGCTTTCTTAGGAGCTTTAGACATTTCCAGGTATGACTTCCAGATGGATCTGAACCTCAGTGTTTTAGGCCAACCCAGTCAGTTCATATTGGCCACGGTCAGAGAGACAAAGTACCAGTCTTTGGTCACCCTGCAAAAAACCTGACTCTCAGTCCAGTGCCTGTTACTTCTACTATGTTACTTCTTTCCTAGAGTGACCTTTCCGAGCTAGTCCATGGCTCACCAGAGCAAATTGGTCTCATGGCATTATAGTTACACCAGCGCTTTGTTTCCAAACTCAGTGATCCTCTGTAATTGCCAAATACCTATGGCTCTGAAGGACTTTTTAACACAAAGGCAAACTCACCAAGAGAAAACGAAGTTTCACCACCATTTAAAGTTTTCAAATTCTGAATATATTCTGAAAATGGTAGTTAGAGGTGCTTTAGCCAAGGACCGTGTCCCAGGAGTGTGTAGGATTGTGCATTTGGATATCTGTGTCTAGCTTCATCACTTATTGCTGGGTGATCCTGGATAAGTTTACTTAATTTTTCTGGGCCTCAGTGGCCTCATCTATAAGAGGGGAGTTATAATAGAACTTAAGTCATAAAGTCATTGCAAGGATTAGGTGGAATGCTGTATATAAAGTACTTAGCACATTGCTTAAAATAAGTACTCAAAAATATTTGCTATCATTATTTTATTCTTTTGTTTTCAGGTAAGTCTCTCTTATAATTGTACATGTTATCAATCAGTGCAAATTAATATGATATCAAGAATATAAAGAAACAAAAAATGAAAGAGTAATGACATTAGCTGGTGGGGTTTATGCAGTCTTTGATTAAACAGGTATTTGTTAAGCACTGACTGCATATTGGAGCTGAATAAGATAGATGTGGTCTTACCTTCATGAACCCTCCTCTTGCAGGAGAGAGAGACATTTAATGAGTAACTGCCACTGTGCAAAGCATTGCCACAGGGATTCATGCATCTGAAAGAGGAAGGAAAGAGGAGAAACTATGCATTCTGGTGGCCACCTCACTGCTGCAACCAGAAGAACACAGCCATCTTCCTGGAAATCATTCTGTATAAATTTAACTCTAAGGGGAAAAACACAGCCGGTCCATTTCCAAACTGGAATTCTCCCCCCATGTGTTTTTGGGAAGCACAGATGCCTTGGCGTTTTCCCTCTAACAATAACAGAGATTGTTCACAATTATGAATGGTTTTGGTTGACTTCAACTCCAACAAAACCATGAATCATTTCATAACTTCTGAAATTGCAAAGAAATAACAAACACTCTGGCTCCAGAAAAAAAAAATGGACACATTATAAAGCAAAAAGTCGACTAAATGAAAATGTGAATTCTTTTTTGTTTGTTTAGCAGCTGCACATTGCAAGGCCAGCTGGCAATGGATAAAAGAGCCAAGTTAGTATCTAGATTCCTAGGGTACCACTTGTACAGTCTCATCTATGGGATCCATAACCAGCCATGACATAAACTTCTTTCTCCATCTTTCTCAAAACTTTGGGCCAGCAACATTATTTCATGCGTTTTACAATATTCTGAGGAAGTGAGGGTGAAAGAAGATGCTTGGGCTGAGGCTCATAACAGAGAGTCTCCATCATGGGTTTCATCACAGATACCCCCCACAGATACACACACACACACACACACACACACACACAGTATGACTTTTTTCAGCAGGCTTGCTACAACCTCCTGATATCTGGCCACAAGATGAGGTTTTCAAAATGTGGGACGAAGAGGATCAGGCTTCCCCCAGTCGGTGACAGCCTCTGAGTTACCAACAGGACCTGCCATTAGAGTAAGGTTGGCCGCTCCTTCTCTTCTCTCTTAATTTAGAAAACTGCATCCTTTCCTGAAGCTGAAGACACCAAGCTATCCTTGATTGCAGTCCAGCCTTGCCTATGCATGGGGTCAGAGACACAGTGGGTTCCAACACCTTAGGGCTGGGACCAGATTGGAGAGTGGGGGACAAGCATATGACTACAGCGTCACAGTTGCAGAGTCTTGCTCCCCACCCTATTGACCTTCTTTTTTCACATTAATACTGTCAACATAATGGTGGCCACCTCACTGCTGCAAGAAAATGTGTTGAAAAGATACTTCTTTTGGAAAACAGGCTTGGGGAAGCAATTATTCCCCCTCAAGTCTGCCTCCATTCCTGATCTCTTTCCACACCCGCCAGGTCCATGGCAGACAGCAATAGACTCAGACCCATTGGCATAGCATGTCCTTCCCACACACGCATTTTTTTAAGTAATAATTTTGTTATACAATTAATGCTTATTTCTCATAGATAATGTAGAATATGCAGACTTTAAAATGGAAGAAAATAAATATAACCTGTATTTCTATTCATCAGAGGGAATCATAATTAGCATTTGGGTATATATGTTTCTAGACTTCTTTCAATGCCTGTGTATGTGTTTTTAAACAAAAGCTAGTATCAAACTGAACACATAATTTTGTTGCCCATCTTTACTCTCACTGTATACTCAACGTTTTCCCATATCTACAAATATGATTGCATATCACTTTGTATGCTCTGCAGACATGTCCGTAAATCTCTGGAAGATTTTTCCTTTTGTGTTCCTCTCCCTGCCATCAGAGATGGCAACAATAGAAAATACACTTTACTATCACATCAGACTCACATCCTGAGCACTGTAGTAGGTTTTGCAGTAGCCCATCACAGACACTTTGCCTGAGACCCTTCTTGCTTTAGCTGTGATTATGAGTGCCCACCTCATTCATCAGCCACTTGATTGCCAAGGTAGAGGCCAGTTCTGTAAAATGCTCCACCAGCTTTAGCACTGTGAAAACCATGGGAAGTTGCATTGGTGCTGCTCACAAGCCCCAAATAGGTGGTCTCAAAAGAGAAAAAGGACTATGTTTTAATAAAACTCCCTTTAATAATTAGGTGCTTTAATAAAAGACCATTTGGGTCACTGTCTACCTCCTCGGCCTAGACTTCCTGCAGTTGGGAAAAACCTCCAGGGACAGAGAGGGTTCTAGGGACATGCTGGTCAGGCCCTGCTCCCAGATGCTGAGTCCACAGGGACTGATAAGGCACCACCCCATAAGAATGTCTGTTCCCTTTTGGAGCCTACCCTGTTGGTGCTGAAGCATCACATTCTTCAGGTTCTAATGAAGATTTACTTCATTGATGAGTTGTAGAGATAATCATTTAATGTTTATTATTCTGAGGAGAATTTAAGAATTTTTATATTCAGAGCAGATTGTCAAATGTGGCAACCACTGCACATAATCCACGTGCTAGATCCTTATAGATGTCATTATTATCACTGGAGCCTCAGCTATGTTTGTCTTTCCCAAGCTGGGTGAATCGGATTGCCAGTTATTCACTAAAGATATAGACAACACATGACTTCTCTTAGGGTAGGTTGCTGGGCTATGGCAGTGCCTTGGAGTGGGGAGTGCAGGTCTCAGCAACTATCCTTGAGTCATTCAAAAAGGAGTCCTATCTCCACAAAGATGCTCATAGGTCAGGCTTTTGAGTCAGAAGAACAGCTTGCAGTCGTCCTCTGGGGCCACAGGAGATAATTGGGTAGGTGTTCTGGAAAGTGAAGAAGAAAGAGGCTTCACATAACACATCCTGGATTTAGGGCGGGGACATAACCAGCCCCAGTGCAATCTGACAGTGGAGAGGGGAACTCTTCCTCAGGTGTGTCTGAAGGCTACCTCAGCAGCCTCCAGGGAAGTGTCCTCTCATTGGTCTCAGCTCCGTATGTGGAGGGCTCGGGAGTGGTTAGAGGCAGGCTCGTGTGGACACTGTTCCCTGGACTGTGCTTGTCTGTATGGTCATGGAAGACTTTTTTCTGCTTCCGCGAATCCAAATTCAGCTTAGCAAACTGTCATTGGGCACCCGTGCACGTGCCTTGCCTCTGGTATCTGGTTGGGCAGGCAATGTAAACAACAGGAACTTCACATCCCAGGGTGATAGTAGTTTTCAGCCACTTTCTCAAAACTGCTTGGTTTTTGAACCACCATCTGTCATAGCCCTGTTTCATGCTTTTATTGAGTAGTGGGTCCTATACGTGCACTTTGAGCACGTCAGTTTGACAGCATTTCTTCCGTTGTCTTGAACTTTTATGTGAACCTTGTATCAGAATCTAATTTTTCCCATTTCTCTCTACCTTTGCCAAGTCTTCCATCTAATGCCTACACACGACCTGAAGAGAAACTCTGTGGCCTGATTTGGGTTTAATTGGTGGGTCTTAGATTTCCCCTCCCTCTCCAGGCTCAGGGTGCCTCATGGCTGGGCACTGAGGGTGACAAGCTTGTGAGCTGTAGAGCAGGCTGGGGTGTTTCTACTGCACAGTCACCCCTCAGAGTGGGAAGAGTGCTTATAAAACTAGAACAGGATGAGACTGTGGAATATGGTTCGATTTGCCTCAGCTCAGGAAGCCCACCCCTATGAAGAAGGAGAAGGCAGGTAGAAGCCAAGGGAATGACAGTGAAGGCCAGGATGCCTCCATGGGGAAGAGTGCTCCTTCCAGGAGGTAGCATCAGCACCATCCAGCTCTCTCTAGGGCTCTGGACTCTCTGTGTACTTGGTGGCCCAGGCTCTACTTTCTGCTCTGTGGAGTGGGACCTCAAGAACCAAGCAATCCTGGCACTGCAGCCCAAGGGGAACATGCAGTTCTTTCCTACGGGCCTTATGGTGCTCTAACGCTGCTTCTATGGAACTTTTCCCAACCAGTTCAGAGCACTTTGAGGGGCACAGTGATGCTGGGAGCCTGTGTTGTGAGTCCCACTGCTATCCAGGGAAGGCCAGTGTGGATGAGTAGCAGTGCTGGGGAGTGAAACATCACTTCTCAAGGCCTGTCCTCAGGCTCATGTGCAGCACTAGCAATGCAATGCTGACTGTACACAGCATACCACTCAGTCACTGAGCAGGGGAAGTGAGCCCTTTTTAGTTCTCTTCCAGTGCTTCTGATCAAGTTGAGGAGAGAGTCTCCATTGGGCACTAGGGTGGCCTAATATTCCTCTAAAACGTGCCAATCTTTTGAAACAAAGAGCCTTTTGTAGATTTGTTTGCATCGTGTTTGTTTTCGTGGTTGTCTCCTATTTAAAGCAGGTGATACCATTTAAGGCAATGATGTAAAATTTCCTTTTTAAATAATAAGATATATTTGTTTCCAGTATACAGAATTAAACTACCAAGCAAATGAAACATAATGGTCTAGGCTATGACCAAAAATCATGAGGGTAGTCACTGAGTGACTCAAGTTTGAGAAATGCTGAACCAGACCTGCTCCTTTCCTTACCTGCAGTCCAGTGTCCCTTCATGACAAGGCATTCGAGAAGGTGTTTTGATTGAGTGTGTGTTTATATCACTCATGAGGAGCTCCTAGTTATAAGCCTGTGGGATCTGGGCATGAGCAGAGGCCATGCTGCTTGCTGGCAGAAACTGGCCTGAGCTGTAATGGGAAGCTACACTGGGAAGATGAAAAGCCCTGGCCTCAGAAGCCCTGTACCTGGAAAAGGGTTAAATCCAAGGGTGGTCACTGCTGGAGTTAGGGGGTGCTGGTTCATTCACTCAACCCACTCTTCTGCCAGCCCAGGACAGCCTCTGGGGCACAGCAGTGATAGCAAAAACGCTAATAGTAAACATGCATTGAACTCTCACTGCATTCTGGCACCTCACCTGAGTCATTTACTTCTCATAATACTGAAAGGTAATAGTGGTAGTGGAAGTATTAAGAGGAGGAGAAGAAGGAAGGAGATGAAAAAAAGCTTAATATTTATTGAATATTCACCCCAAATGATCTATAGCTTGAATGAAATTCCTATCAGAATCTTAGGTGTCTTCTTTATAGAAACTGACAAGCTGGTTCTAAAATTCAAATGGAATTTCAAGAGATTCAGAATAGCCAAAATAATCCTGAAAGAGAAGAATAAGGTAGGACTCATACCTCCCAATTTCAAAACTTAGCTACAAAGCAATGATAATCAATATTACATGGTACTAGCAAAAGAACAGGCCATAGATCAATGGAGTACAATTGAGAGTCCAGAAATAAGCTTACACGTCTATGACTGACTAGTTTTTGACAAGGTCCCTAGAAGAGACCATCTAGTTGTAGGAAACAAGCTCAGGGCTGCCACTGATTCTACATTATGATGAGTTCTGTAATTATTTCATTATATATAACAATGTAATAATAATAGAAATAAAGTACACAATAAATGTAAGGCACCTGAGTCATCCTGAAACCATTCCATCCCCCCAACCGCAGTTCGTGCAAAATTGTCTTACACGAAACTGGGCCCTGGTGCCAAAAAAGCTGGGGACTGCTGCTTTAGAGGATATCATCAATAAAGTACAAAGACAACCCACAGAGTGGGAAAAAATATTTGCAACTCATATATCTGATCAGGTATTTGTATCAAAATATGTAAAGAATTCGTACAACTCAGTAATAAAAAGACAACCTAACTTAATCATAGGCAAAGGATCTGAATACATACTTCTCCAAAGACAATATACAAATGACCCATAAAATAAGCACATGAAATGGATGGAGAAAAAAAGTAGATTACTGGTTGCCAAGGAATGGGAGGGAGCCCAGGAGGATAAGGGGGTGACAGCTAGAGGCTGCAGGGTTATTTTTTTAATCAGATCTGTGTTCCAGAATTGACTCTAGTGATGGTTGTACAAATCTGTAAATATACCAAAACAAACTAAAATGTATACTCTAAATAGGTGAATTGTATGGCATGTGAATTATATCTTAATGAAGCTGTCAAAAACATTTGTGGAGCTCCAGGCATAGTTCTAAGCATTTTATGTATATAACTCATTTACAGTCACCCAACTAGGTATGCCTTATTATATGAACATCCTCGTTTTGCAGCTGAGGAAACTGAGGCAGAGTTGCCCAGGGCACTATTAACATCTCCTTCTAGCTCATAAGGACAATGAAGCACACAGTTTAGAGTTTGTGTTCTGTCTGTAGTCATACAGCTGGTACGACAGAAGCAAAATCACAGTCTGATCCCAGGTTCCCACTCTTGGCCACTTGCCGTGCTATACTACAGGTGAAAGCAAAGGGTTCCTGTCCGTAGGAGCTGTAATCTACCTGAGCGTAGGCACATAAACGGGAAAGAGGTTGAAAAACTGTCTGGATGAACACCTACCTACTAATTCGCTCAGAGACTTTAGTTAAGGCACAGCATTCCTGGGCCTCAGTTTCCTCCTCTTTTAAACCAAGTCTTAGGCTGGATGAAAGAGGGCCCCATCCTGGGGTTCATGAAGGTAGTAATGCTGGTCCGTGGATAACCCTTAGCATTAAACAAAACAAAGCAAAAATCCTAACAGGGATTCTATTTGCATTTGGGCCTGGAGACCACAAAGCATCTTTGCTCTTGGCTGGAATTAATGTCCCACCAGGGCAGTAACCCTGGTTACCTCAGGCTGATGAGAAACTCTGATTAGCAGTCATGTATCTGACTGTGCTTGACAAGAATAAGAAACTGGATCCCTCATTGCTTGTTCTAGAATCACTTGCTGGGGAAGGCCACCCTCAGGTCTGGGGGCTTCCACTGCTTGGTCAGACTACAATTCTCTAAGCTCATTTGATCCCCATAGGACTTGCCCTCCCTTGGACTCCCTGGCTTTCCTCCGGTGACTCGGGTCCCAGCTGTTTTTTCCACAGCACCCAGGGTTCCCTGTGGCAGGCCCCAGCTAAGGTGGGTGTGCGGGCTTTGGACTAGCCAGCAGAGCCAGGCTGGGCAAATGTCTGTGCTGTCAGGAGCATGGACAGGGCTCTCTATGCTAGGAGCCCACCATTGCTTCTGCTCTTCCTGCAGGCAGAAGGCAAGGCCTGAGTCCCACCGAGTAGCACCTTCTTCAGTCATGCCTGGGGAGCTCTGAAAATAAACCAGATTGGGAATAGTCAGGGTGTGGGCTACTGATGGCCCCTCAGGTCTATCCACTGTTCCCTCTGACACTAATTTTCAAAGAATGTTTCACTAAAACATTTTCCATTTGGCAAAATTTTGCCTTAGGATCAGCCTACACTAGAATCTTAGGATAGCTGAGCTGGGAGAAAGCCCCAGACAACATTTATTTATTTTATAGACAAGAAAACTCTGTTAAAGATGCCTTACCTGGAGGTTGCAGTGAGCCAAGATTGTGCCACTGCACTCCAGCCTGGGCGACAGTGAGACTTCATCTCAAAAAAAAAAAAAAAAAAAAAAAAAAATGCCGAATCGACCCTTGCTGTTCCAGGGAGATGTGGCCTCAGCTAGGCTGTTATAGCTGAGCTGATGATCAGAACAATGTATTCATTCTTAGAAACCAAGTGAGCACTGCTTCAGCTCTGTGCAACTGCTAAATTCAGTTTGTATGGATTTGTCTTGGAATTATGGTCCTAATGTTCCATTTGATTCAGCTTGGCTGGGGCAACGCTCAGATTTTGAAGAAGAGTTCACAACCCTAGCCAGTTAAAGGGTGGTGTGCCCTCAAGCAGTCAGAAGATCTTGTCCACTGACTCATTCATTAACCCACAAAAAGAGTAGGCATTGCCCTAGGTATTTGGGGGTATGAAAGAAGCTGTTGTAGATGTGTTCCTGTCCCAGAAGGAGCTGATGGTGGTATCTATGAAGGTAAGAATTTGTGTAGATAGGAGCACCAGTCACCCTAAGCAGAGCCAGAGAATGCTTAGGCCAGACAGAGGGCGGGGGCACTTAAATAGAAAGAGCAGTTCTTGGGTACAAGAAGTCCCAGGGAAGTTTCCTGGAGGAGGTGGCATTTGACTTGGCCCCTATACAATCAGTAAGATCAGGAAACTGATATGGTGTACTTTCTCAGTCAAAACATGGCCCACAGACAACAAAAAATATAGCAATTGAGACACAGTATCAAGTCTGGAGGGTAGACTTATAAAAATTGTGAAAAGTGTTGAGAAAGGAAAATGCAGGCATTTTGGGAGAGACTAATGGGAGGTTTATAATTTAGATTGGGAGTGTAGAGGGTAAGGGGCACCAGGCTTCAAACTCAGATCTCAAGGTGTCCAGAGCCCACACTCATAATTACTGCCCTGCTTCCTCCTAGCTGAGATCTCTGCAGGGTCCCTGGTGAGTCAGAGACAGAAGTCAGGCCTCCCAACTCCCTGGGTCAGCCTTCTTTCCTCACAGCCTACCTGCTGCCTCAGAGCACATGCCTGTCTGCCTCACTGATGTTTCCCATCAGTGGCTCACTCCACAGTGTGCTGTTGGGGGTAAGGTCAGGGACATCCAGAGCACCCAGATCTTCCCTCCTACCTGACCGGCTTAGGGCAGACATGCAAGGCTCAGGCCCTCCCAAAACAGTCGTTAACCTTTCTTCAAAAGGTCATGCTATGGAAAACCCCTACTTCAGCCTCCCAGCTGTAATCACAAACAGCATCAGTGAGAAAGCCTTTTCCTGGGAATGTCTGTTCTTGGTAACATGCCCAGGTCACAATCTGGAACATCAAAGTCCCGTTCACAGAAACAAGGATCCTGTTGCAGGCACCCTGGCCCTGCCGTCACCCAGGCCTAGAGGGTACTTCTGGATGCTGGACGATTAAGTTCAATGTCTCCTGGCTAAACGCAACTCAAGCAAACTTCCCAGCTGGCCAGTGTTTCCATGAAGCAGAGGTCCTTGTCCTCTGCCCAGGATTTTCTGTAAGGAAAAGCTCATGGCACCACTGTCTCCCCAGAACCCTGCTGTGAAGCTTGTTCTCTATATGTGTCCGTGTTCCCCATCGTGCCCCCATCATGCGCCCTCCCACTCCAGTGATCTTTGCCAGTCTGCTGCTGTCACTTCCCTCCTGCCTGTCCCTCCTTTCCTCTCTGACAACCCTTTCCCGGAGTGCAGGCCTCTCCTCTCCCCTCCCTGGGTGTCAATTCTCTTCAAAAGGATTTTTTTAAAGAGCAAATGTTTAATTTGTGTTTGTTGACTAAATGAATTAATCAAGTAGGCCTCTTTATTATGTAACGTCTTATACATGTAAAAGATTATATGACATCAATAGAAGGTATTAAGAGTAAGTAAAATGCCCACTTTACCAAGTTAAGACCCCTGTCTATGTGGCCCTCTACCAGAGTAACAGCCTCCTTAAGTAGTCCTTTTTTTCTCTTCACCTCCTAGTCTAATCCACTGTCCACCTGACTGCTGGGGCCATCTTTGCCTAAGCTCAGCTCCCTTCCGTTGCTCTCACCAGCTTCCCAGGTCAGCATGGCCCGTCAGCAGAGCACGTGGTCTGGCACCAGCCATCCAGGCAGAACAGAACTGCGCTAGCCTGTGCTCTGCACCCTGCTGTCTCCCTGTCTTGGGGTACACAGTTTCCTTTACCTGGAATAACCCCACCCACATGTCCCACATCTCTGCCTGTCACACCCACCTTTCCTTCTAGGCCGCAAAATGTCATGGTTTTCCCAAAGCGATACCCAATTTCTCCACTCAGCTGTACTTCCTCCTTCTCTGAGCCCCTTTAAAACATGGGTGGTTTTTCTTTTCTCTGCAGCATATCTGACATTTTGCTACCTTTTATTAGGGTGAGGTTTTTTTTTTTGATTCCTAATTTCACATACTGGATTATAAGTTTCTCGTGGACAGCCACATGTCTTTGAATCTGTAGGGCCTACTAGAACATCTTGTACACACATAGTAGGTGCTCAAAAAATAATTGGATTAGAATGAATTGAACGGTCCTCCTCCAAAGCTTACCTCACATCTTTCTCCCTGAAATCCTATAAAAATAGGGACTTGTTGCCCTAGGGAGAAGGGCTTCTTGGGGCAGGAATGTGGCTGATGCTTGATACAGCTGGCTGAATGAATATTTGCAATCATTCTGCCTAAGATAGAGGGTTGGCCTCAATGCTTTCTCGGGCAGAAAGTTGTTTAACCTGTATCACTTCTTGATAAATAATCCCTACTTTAGGATATTTGGAATTGCTAACTAGATATCATGTAAAGGCAAAGCAATTATGATACTGAATGTGCATTCTCACACACATTAGTTGAGGATTACAGCTCTCAGAAGATTGTTCATAAAGATGTGATGTCTCTCTGTAGGTCTCTTTGGGGATGGGATTCTGAGGGAGATTCTGTCAGCCCAGTCTCAACTGTTAATGCCTTTAATAAAACACAAGCTGATTTTCTTTAGACAGCACTAAGAAAAGCATGCACAATTCTTTGAAACAATTTTTAACAGTAAAACATATTTATACCTTTTAATTGTGCTGCCTTAACAACATTTGGAGAAATTAATATGCAAAAACTTTCACCACCCTTAACTCTCATTTCTGTTTTCTAGTGCTACCTTCCAGTCTTTATTCATATGTATGAAAGAAGCTTTCATTTCTGCCAGAAATGAAATAAAAGTTTTGATGTTTTCCTATTATAAACATCAAATCTAACAGGCAAACTTTGTGAACATCTACTGTGTCCAAAGCCCTTTACCGAGAACAGTGGGAGATACAAAAAGAGTTTGTTCCCTACACAAGTATTTACTAAATGCTTGCCCTGTGCCCAGAGCTGTTCTGGTCCATGGGTGACAGCTATGGGTAAGACAGGTCCCCAGCTTCCAGGATGGAGAGGCAGACACCAAACAGAAAAATAGTATGTCAGGGGTAGGTAGGCTATGAAGAAAAATAAATGGGGAGTGACTTAGAGGGGGCTGCTGTTTTATGAGAGTGGTCAGGGACATTCTCTCCAAGACAACATTTAAGCAGTGCTCTGAAAGAAATGTGGGGGTGAGGGAAGAATGTTCTAGGCAGAAGAGACAGCAAGTGCAAAGGCCCTAGGGTGGGAGTGGTTTTGGTGTGTTTAAGAAACAAGCCTCTGTGGCAGGAGTGCAGTAGGGACAGGGTGGGGAAATATGAAGTCAAGAGAGGGAGCAGGAGGCTAGGATTGGGCTACATTGGAGGCTGCAGAAGGACTTGGACTTTTATTCTGAGTGTGATGGGAGCCTGTGGGAAGTGCTCATCTCACTATGGAGAACAGCCCAGGGACAGGAGTAGATACAGGGAGTTTGTTAGGGGACTGCTGAAGTTTCTCAGGAGAGAGGCTCTGGTGGCCTGTATAAGGTGCTCTACTAGGCCCTACAAATTCAGAGACAGGGGGCTTCCACAAAAAACTATGGTGGTAGTGATTTAGGGAGGTAGCAGAGCGGTCAGGTCCTGGAGGTGTTTTAAAAGTAAAGCCAACAGATTTCCTTTCATATTAAATGTAGATGTGAAAGGGAGGAGTCAAGGTTGAATCCAGGATTTTGGGCCTGAGTAACTGATAAAATGGAGATGTTGCCCTCTGAGATACAGGGAA